TCAAGTGCTACTCAACTGGCTTTAGAAAAGCCAGTCCTTTATTAGTATATAAGTGCTTTGTTAGTAATTCTATGGCTCGAAGTGGAGTCGAAAGAGATGAGTTTTCAGTCTGGAAGATGTGTAGGCTTTCTGCTGTCCTGATGTCAATGGGGAGCTCATTCCACCATTTTGGAGCCAGGATAGCAAACCCACGTGTTTTTGCTGATGGGAACTTGGGTTGGCCTACCTGCCTGTCAGCCTTCCATCTGTGCACACACTTATCTCGTGCCCTCATTGGTCATGTGCACGTTCGTGTGTGTTGGAGGAGTGGCTCTGTAAGGAAGTCTGAAGTTGGTGCATCATGGCATGTGGCTCATTAAAAAATAAGTACAGCTATTATCTCCCTCTTGTATAACTGGTCGGCCCCACCTGCAGCAGGTAAACCAGGGTTGCCAACTCTCACGCATCTAGCGTGTAACACACGCTTTCACTCTCAATCTCACACGCTGCCCAAACTATTCTCACGCCCAAAACAAGATGAACCGGTGATCGTTTTTGTTTGGTTATTTACAATGTTGAGTTGACAGCTGCTCGAGCTGTTGATCCGCTCCCTCCCCGCCTCCACCACCATCAGACCCCCCTGCTCGGTCACTGTTCGCTTTGTGAGAGGGTTTGAAGGTCTAATTTCTAATGATTGATAGTTACACATACTTGTTGTATGTATTAGTTTAGTTTGCCCCTGGTATGTAAAAAGGATAATAATAATAGCGTTGTTTTAAATTATACTGAGTTATTCTTCTTGTCAGGAACCGCTACTATTCGTTTGTTTTATGGATTTGGGCCGGTCTGGGTCTAAATGCCAGGGCCGATTTGCTGTCCCAGTCCAGCCCTGGTCACAGGTTCATTCAACAGTCTGGAGCTGTAATGTGACAAACAGTGGGATTAGTCTGGCATTCATTCATGAGAAATGATCTGTAGTATGCTGGTTAGGTGACCTGGGGCCTCATGTATAACGCCGTGCGTAGGATTCACGTGGGAAGGTTGCTTACGTAGTAGAAATCCGAAAAATAGGTCCATACATTTTCCGCCACTTCTCGATTCACCAAACATTGCGTACCGGCGAGGAAAATGCGTATGGCACTTCCTACGCCGGTTTCCCTTTGTAAATCACAACCGACTCGAAATGCGGTGCAGCTCTTGCGGGCTTCACGTAACGCCCATATTTGCCTATAAATAGTCAAAGAAACGCCCATTCATTCATTCATTCTGACTGACTTTATGAAGAAGATAGCAGGAAATGACGACAGAACAGCTAAAAAAGACATCTCACACCGTGTCAGATTGTGGTTATTTTGGGGAGGTCGAGATAAAGCATATTGTTTGGTGGATGCAGTTTGAACCAGAGTAGCAGCATGGAGGTCGGATCGTCACCAAAATAAATAAATAAGTGGTCTGAAAAAAGTTAATGACAAAAACAATACACATAGCCTTCCTCAGGCAGTGTGTTTGTACCGGGGACAGGAGACCCCCCCTTGATGAGAGACTGTAAGAAATGATCGGGAATCCCTCCGGAGTGGAGTCATGACGACTGGATCTGAATTATGTTTTTGTATTTGGTGGTTTGTGTCCCAGCTGTCGATCAGCTGTGCGCAGCGTCTCCACTGCAGCCTGTGCGTCTCAACCCCCCCCCCCCCCCCCCCGCAGCAACCCTATATCCACCAGTTAAAGGAAATACAACTAATGTGTTGTGTTATATCAGCTGTACAATTTACCACATTGTTTGTTTGTTTGTAGCCTTTATTTAACCAGGTGAAAGCCCCTTGAGATCAAAATATCTCTTTTTCAAGGGTGACCTGCAAAACACATAAGGTGTTCTTAGCTTCCATACCTCCTGTGTTTTACGAGCGACTTATCAAGTCTTGGCAAACGGCATAAAACACGATTAAACGTGATAGTATATAAAACCATGCTCGTATCTACAACCTATAGAAATGCAACACGGCGTCAGTTTAGACGTAATTCTGTCCTCCTGCTTACCGCATCATTTATGAGAAAACATTTCATAACATTAACACAACATATTCGAGGTGGTTTTAAATAACATATCTGTATTTATTTATTTCTCCAAGTTATGTTCTTGTGTGCACTGAGGAGTCGCAAACAGGCGTTTGTTTAATCATTTTAAGATTGGCTTTAATCAATGTTTGAAAATGAATTCTTCATATATGATAAATGAGAGGTAACATTTTATTTATGGTATTATTTCCACATATTTCTCTCCATTCTTCCTTCTGCCAACGGTGTCGCAGTTTCTCGTCTCTCCCGTTGTTGTGCTTAGTGCGTACGCATGGGTTAGAGTTTGCGTGGAGGACCGCACATTTTCCCGTCAAGTTAGTATTTTATAAATCGCAAACATTGCGTAGAAACTGGCGTACGCCATTTTTTGAGCGTATATTGCTTTATAAATGAGGCCCCTGGGGCCTCTTTTAAAAACGTGGCGTATGCTCAAAAGATGGCGAACGCCAATTTTTAAACAATCTTTGCGATTTATACAAAACAAACTTGACGGGAAAATGTGCGGTCCTCCACGGACATTCTGACCCATCCGTACGCACTAAGCACAACAACGGGAGAGACGAGAAACTGCGACACCGTTGGCAGAAGGAAGAATGGAGAGAAATATGTGGAAATAATACCATAAATAAAATGTTACCTCTCATTTATCATATATGAAGAATTCATTTTCAAACATTGATTAAAGCCACTCTTAAAACGCCCGCTAAAGCTGCGCCGAATTTCGAGTTGATTGTGATGTATTAAGGGAAACCGGCGTATGACGTGCGTGCGCATTGTTTTATAAATCGGAATATTTGTGTGTGGGGGCAGTGTTAATGAAATCACAGCATCCTGCACATATTGTACAAATATTTTTGCAAGAACATTTTAATTGAATGAAAGCATTTTTGTAAAATATTGACTTAAAGGTGGGGTAGGCAATGTTGGAGAAACCAGCTGGAGTGTGTTAGAATTTGAAAATACAGGAAAAAATCTGCCACTTCCTCACAGAGCCCCTCCTCCAACACACACACAAACGCGCACATGACCAATGAGGGCAGAGATAAGTTTGTGCACAGATGGAAGGCTGACAGGCAGGTAGGCCATCCAGTTACTTTAGCCGGGCCGGCTCAGATGATTGGTTGTACTTTTTACAGTACTACGGCTTCCAGAAATGACATGTTTGTATGGATTTGTTGTCAACGCACTTCAGATATTCATTGCTATCGGGATGTTAAGAGCATTCCATGGAATATAACAAAAAGTGTATCTCGAGCCGGTTTCTCAAACTTACCTACTGCTCCTTTAACCCTTGCAAACAAACACGACAGGAGGGTTACAAAAGCACTAACTGGGTCAGTCACTATTACTGTGCAACTGTTTTAAAGAGAGGGGTAACAAAACAACAAAAAAAGTAAACGCATTTAATTCCCCAGACTCTCGGATTCTCTGCAGTCCGTGTATCAAACGGAATACTCTCTCTCCCTGAACGTCTTTCTGGGTGCACCACAAAGTCAAATCTGCTTCAGATGCAACTTCTCTGCTGGATTATCCTGACAGCATGATGTCTCCGTGCTCTGGAGTATCACAGTGCAATAACACTGGCAATATAAAACTTTGTGCAATATACCCTCTGGACAGTCACGCTTTATTTTTTCTCTCAATTAGTTGCTTTACTTATTGTGTTTTTTATGTTAATAATAACGTGTGCAATGCATAGGCTACTTTGTTATTTTTTAATATGTAAGTATTAGGGATGCGCGATAATTATCGGTCCGATATTAGGAATTATGACGTCATCCCGATAAACCCGATACCAGGATTAATAGCCCCGATAATATACAATATATGTTTTGGGTAAAAAAAGAGAAAAAAATACGGCGGTGTGGGTGGATTGGGATGAGGGGCGCTTGTTTTTCACTCGGCTCCTCCCGTTTTGCCAGTACTGTGGTATTAGTGGTTTAGGAAGAGGGGAGTTCTTCACAAATCCAGCGCTCCCTAACTCATGCCTGGCTGTGACGTAAATGGTGTGCGGCCGTGAAGCCAGGACAGTAAACAAACATGTCGTCGGTGGTATGGGCGTTGGAGCTTTGTGCAACTTAAGGCATATGCTCGAACCGGAGCTGCCTGGACGCTGCAATCATGTTGCGCACTATCCGTGCTGAGTGTGCTGACTTTTCGTACAATGTCCCACTGTCTGGCTTCCTGCATAAAGTCAAGTGCTCGGCGCAGTTGTGGCGAAATGTCGCTCCTCTGTTTTCATTTAAACAGCTCCTTATATCCGTTAGCGCAGCTAGCTAGCACCAGATGCTAACAACAACAATGCACGTAAGGTCTCTCTCTCTCTCTCGCTCGGGCCACACATACACACACCCTCCCGGTCCTCCAGATGGCCAGTCGGTGCCTGCCGGTGAGCGTGGAAGTGTGGTCTGCAGCAAGCGAGCGGCAGGAGCGGGGCTGTCAGCATCAGCTTGTAGATGGTATTTTAAACTCGATGCGCTCTGAAACTACGGGGCGGCCGAGGAAAAAAAAATACACATGCGTTAATCGCGTTAAAATAATTAGTGGCGTAATTTTTTTTATTATCGGTCTTGGGAAGCAGGAAGTTATCGGTATCGGTTTCAAAAAACCAATATCGTGCATCCCTAGTAAGTATATTCTCTTCACTTTATCTGCACTACACCTCTGCTGTAAATGTGAAGGAGTTCTGATTGTGATCATCAGAAGCAGCGGACACACCTGACTGAAGGTAAATGTACTCAGCGACCCCAGAAACCAGACTCCATGACCGCTATGAGCATTACAGCATTTAGCCAGACCCAGCATGCACCTGTTGGTCACACAACAATGTGGGTATGTGTGATTTGGGTCACTGAGCATTCCCACCATTACATCAGTGCTTAATGAAGGCGTGTGTTACATTCTTTAACTACACAGAGGAACAAAAAAGCCAACAGAAACCATAATGATGTCATCCTTAATTTTATTGTAGCTCTGTGTATTTTTGCACAGCTCACTATTTGCAAGCCCAGGTTAAACTGAACACCCCATAACTCTGCAACTCTCATTTCCCTCTTTACCGATGCCCACTGACTTAACAAGGGTTAATGTCCCGCCAGACCGTTAGAGGCGGATTCTGAGCACTTCAACGCTGAAGTGAACCTATCTTGGTTCAATAATTAGTACAAAAATGAGCAACTACTGGAGAAAAAACAAACATATCTGGTACTTTTATATAAAATCAGAAGTGTGTGTATATAAATGAGAACAAAAGTCAACTTGCATATTCTTTAAACTCTAATGTAAACTTTGCAAATCTGTCCTATTTGTTTCAAAAGCCACACCGCCCTTTCCATTATCAAAACATCTAGACTTTGTATTATCTGTGTCTTGACCTTTAGTATACAAAGCCCCCCCTTCAAAGACACCATGTGTGACTGTTCTTGTCTGAAACATGATTCTGAAGCTCACACTGAGTCCTGCTTCCTCTTTAGGGTTTGATCCGATGTAAAATGCCTCTAAGATCTTTGTGACTAACTCTCAGCGGGGTCTGAATGATGTCTCACAGGGACGTGTTGCTGTAGATGGGTCACACATGACTATTACACCTGCAGGTATGACACGTATATACATGGCACCAGGCTGGACAAAGGAAGATGACAATGAGTTGTTTTATGAGCATCTTTTTCCTTTCACAAAGATATTCATTGTGCTTGGAGCTGAATGTAGCTGTGGTTGTGAAGAGGGGGCACGTTGTCTTCTGAGCACTAAAAGCACTCTTCCTAAAGCTATGAAATGTAACATGAAGATTTAAACAACTGCAGGTTATGCCAAGCATGACGATAAATGACAAACGATTCTAATAATCAATTTAATAAATTAAACTGCAAGTGCAAGGATGTCCAGATGCTGACAGAACAGAATCACATGACAGAGAAGTGATAATGAGCGATAGTAAGTCCATCAGACGCCATCTGCTGTCACGTGAACCTTTGGCAGGCAGAGGCCACAGAGCGGAGGAGAGCTAGAGGGCACAGGAAGCGCTGCGCTCACATCACACAGTGAAGCTGTTAGTCCTCATGTACATGCTTTAATAGGATGGTGGGGGGTCACCATAAACAGCAGATACAATTCATTGTTCTTTGACTTCATACTGCAGGACCAACTTGAACTTTGACCCTCTTGCTCTTACATCTGCTATCCAGTCAGAAAAACGTGGTGTGTTTGGCATTCTGGCTTTGACATACTATGAATTGGAACATATTCAATGTTTTTCTGGCACCCTAAATAGTTTGGTCCTCTGGGGATGAACATCTAGTGGGGTTCTCACCCTCACTACTCAGGGGGCACTAAGTATTTCTTAATACAGCGGTGAATACTTATCTCAATAAAAGTTAGAGTAAATCTCTCCAGACAATGTTCATCACAGCTAACTGTGTTTTTATCAAAACTCTCATATATACACCGGATATTACTTTACAGCAGTTCCCACATCCTCACTGCACTGATTGATCATTGGTGTCATCAAAACGTTGCAGAGAAATGATTGGCTCACTATGAAAGATGACTCAGAGGGACATGGCGTCCTCAGGGCGTTTGTTCATCGACTCATCACCATATATTCTAAATAATTTATACATCCATAATAATTTACCAGATTTTGAGCTCTGCATTAAACACTTTACAGCGACATATAAAACAACAGAATTCTGCAGGTTACTACAGACATGATGTAAACATCATAACAACAACAACAACAGGACTCACTACGGCTCAGACAGTGCAAATCAAACGCTGAGTGAGCAGATGAGCACACTGATACTAACCTTAAGCACCCTCACATCCTAACGCAGGATCAATAGAGGGACAGGAAACATCTCTGTGGCTGCAGTGTGTGTGTGTGTGTGTGTGTGTGTGTGTGTGTGTGTGTGTGTGTGTGTGTGCGCGCGCGTGCGTGCGTCCGCTGTGAGCCGTGTTCTGCAGTTAGAGCTCCTCGGCCATCTGCAGCAGAGAGTTGATGGCAGCGTCCTTGTTGCCCTGCTGGGCGTCCAGCACGGTGCGGACCACCTCGGGGTCCAGGTTGGGGAACATGTCCTGCAGAGCCTTCAGGTCCTCCTCGCTGCACACCGGCCCCGGGCCCCCCACTGCGGGCACGGCTGCGGGCAACCCCATTGGCACCATGCCCTGGTTGTAGACTGCAGGCACTCCTAGCAACACAACACACACTGCTGATGTAAGATCCAGACACAGAAGGGGGGGGGGGGGGGGGGGGGGGAACTAACAGAGAAGAGCCAGCCCAATAAAAGGTCTTAATCCTTTTTTCAGGCAAGACAGTAACCACTTAGCTTCAAAATATGTGATCAGTTTATTCAAATAACGTACATTTTTGGATTTGATGTCGATGTTTGGAGGTGACGAGGGTAGACACAGGTCGGCAATGTAAATAACCTCAGGGTATTTCATAATATTTAGAAGTTAAACCACCAATTTGGGGATAGTTAGAAAGATACTTAGCTAGTAAGCTAGCTAGGCATCTTGTTAGATAGATAGCTAACATCTGCTAGCTAGCCTTCTAGCACACTGTTAATTAATACTGTCTGTAGGTTAACTAGTTTGTATACATTTCAACCCTGTGGACCTGACGGTGAAGGTGATTACAAAAACACCATTGAGAGGCTAGATTGTGTGTGTGTGTGTGTGTGTGTGTGTGTGTGTGTGTGTGTGTGTGTGTGTGTGTGTGTGTGTGTGTGTGTGTGTGTGTGTGTGTGTGTGTGTGTGTGTGTGTGTGTGTGTGTGTGTGTGTGTGTGTGTGTGTGTGTGTGTGTGTGTCTGACCTGCAATGGGCACATATCCCACCCCCTGCTGGTACACAGAGGGCATCAGGACGACGGGCTGGGTCACCATGCCTGCAGGTAAGGACTGACAGAGAGGAGAGATGAACAACTGAACATGTTCATCTCACCTAAAGAGGGCTGGGGTGGATGAGAATATAATGCAAAATGGCATTATATTGTGTATGTTTTCTTTGTTTTAAGACTAAGAAACGACTCGTATACTGGAAGGTGGTTCAAATATATCTCAAAATGAATATGATTGTGAATATAACCTACTCAATTGCTATTGAGAACATGAGTCCTATTTACCTTGATTATTTGGGAACATGATACGCTTTGCATTTATTATGTGTCCATAATACACAGGAATATTTCTCGTATTGCACTGTGCTGGTAGTTTATCGTGTTGTTTGCTGTAAAAAGGTTTAATAAAGTCTAAGTGGTGGAGTTGCACATCCTCCACATGAGGGAGAGAGAGTGCACTCACAGCGAAAGACATCACCAGGTTGATCATGCCCTCCTTGTCGTCGCCCTGCCGACCGCTGAGGGTGAACCACTCGTCCACCACGCTGCCCCCGCGCAGGCTTTCTGGGATGGTGACGTGAGTCCATGCTATCCTGTCGTCCATGGAGAACGCTCTCTGGAAACAGACAGCTCAGAGCTCACTCACTAAACACATGCTGAGGGACACAGTTCTGTCTGATTCACTGTTCCAAATATCCCAGGAAACACGGGGAGAACAATTGTATATAAATAAACATTCTGTGGTTAAGGTATTCTTCTAACCTTGTCTTCACTCGATGAGGTTTAGTTTAAGCCCAATGACTATGGTTCCCAGTTTAACTAAGCACACTGTCGCACACATGCACTGCAACCCCTGGTCCCATAACAATTCATTTGTAGCACAGTACTATACTTGAAATAAAGAAAAAATCAAAGATTAAAAAAAGAAAAGTACTTGTGTAACTTTGTGAGGTGGTAAGGAGGCAATCATCATCGGGATGGAAAGTAAATAAGAGTTGTGAATATCTGCACTGCCTTTAAACACCCGCCTTATCAGATATGTCTAAACTGAAGTCATGAATGTTAAAGGCCTTTGCCTTTATGTTTCTCTGTCAAATATGTTTTGACTTTGATCAGCATATAGCTGAACAGTATAAAGGAACAGCAATTTAAAAACTGAAACTAGTTCAAATGTTCATCATTTCTCATCTCATAATCATCTTCTAACTGTACGGGTGTTACAGTTGGAGTATCACTGAATGTTTGTACTGTGGTTCTTAATGCGGTTTGGAAACTGTTACACCCCTTCTTATCCATGTGTGTGTGTGAGAGTACTGAAGGGGACGGATTCAGCAGGTCCCCCTCCTCACCTCATCAAAGATCTCCAGGTAGAAGGAGTCCACCCCCGGGGGCACGGTGCACTGGATCACCTTGTTCCAGCGCGGGTTCTTGGCTCCGTTGTGAGCAGTGGGGGTCTCGTACACTGCGTAGCCCAGTCGGACACGGCAGTACGGATCCATCCGGGTCATCCCGTAGTTCTTAGCCAGCTTTCCCTTCAGAGCAGAACAGACAGGACCAGTGTGATATGATCCACAGGGGGACAGACATCCAGATGAGACACAGCTGTGTGTGTGTGTGTGTGTGTGTGTGTGTGTGTGTGTGTGTGTGTGTGTGTGTGTGTGTGTGTGTGTGTACCTGCACCACCGTGATGCTGAGTCGCCCCACAGTTGCCATGGAGTCCCCGTACTGCAGCTGGTGGGCCGCTTGTGCGTCCAGGTGCACCTGCTGCTGCTGCTGGGTGGGGGCGATCCGCAGGAAGTCCTGGGGAAGCTCCCCAATGTACACCTGAACACACACACACAAAATGGCAATTCAAAGATGACAGAAAAGACCTGAGACAAATGTAACTGCCAGAGTAAAGAGCTAAAGTTAGGCTATAAGGGACTAGATCTTGGTCACATGACTTCATGTCAACAGCACTAAGCTACAGGTGGCTAATGTTTGGTGTGATGACAGTAGTCTCATTTAGACCCTTGTTAGCAAACACTGAAGCTTCTGAAGACAACTCCTGTTCTGGCTGCCTTACACTGGCTCCCTATAGAACACAGGATAGAATTTAAAATTCTTCTTCTCGCCTACAAAGCCCTTAATGGGCAGGCGCCATCTTACCTTAAAGAACTCATTATACCCTACTGTCCTACTAGGGCATTGCGTTCCAAGAATGCAGGGTTGTTGGTTGTTCCTAGAGTCTCTAAAAGTACAATGGGAGCCAGAGCCTTTTCTTATCAAGCTCCACATTTGTGGAATCAGCTTCCAGTTTGTGTTCGGCCGGCAGACACCCTATCCGTTTTTAAGAGTGCGCTTAAGACCTTCCTTTTTGATAAAGCTTATAGTTAGGGCTGATTAGATCCAGCCCCTAGTTTTGCTGATATAGGCTTAGTTTGTCGGGGGACATCTTACTTCTTCCTTCTCTCTGTCTATACCTGTGTACTCTCATGTTCCGATTAACCCAGCTTCCCCAAATGTCTTTCTTTTTGGTGTCTATATACGCCGGGATCCGGAGTCATGGATGATCCTGCGCTCCTCTGTCCTGCATCGCGAGCCCTGGATCTTGAGTCGTGGCTGTGGTCCTGGATCATAGGTCCTGGATGGATATCCTCGTGGATTCATCTTCCTATTATACACACATGCATTTCCAAACATTTGGACTACCTATGTTGCAAATGTATTATCTTTTCAATTTACACACGGCATCTATTGCACGTCTGTCCGTCCTGGGAGAGGGATCCCTCCTCTGTTGCTCTCCCTGAGGTTTCTCCCATTTTTCCCTTTAAACTGTGGGTTTTCTCCGGAAGTTTTTCCTTGTACGATGTGAGGGTCTAAGGACAGAGGGTGTCGTATTGTCATACTGATATTCTGTACAAACTGTGAAGTCCACTGAGACAAATGTAACATTTGTGATATTGGGCTATATAAATAAACATTGATTGATTGATTGACAACTCTCCTAAGCTTGTGTTAACCACAGATCTTATTTCAGGCATCTTACCAAAAGACATGTTCAGAATAATTCTAAGGTAACAGAAGCACAGCGTTCCAGGTAATTATTCACAACTGAGAAACATACGTAGTTATGAATACTGTATTCCATTTCTGCAAATGTGTGAGACTGACCGTTGAGCGGCCCAGACCAAGCAAGGAGGCAGAGGCAGAACGTCCAAAAATATAACCCGACGTGGGCATTTATTAAAATCATGTGCACAAAGTTCACAGCCTCAATCCTGCTGTTCTCCTTGCACACATTCTGCAGCCACAAGGATCTCACACACCCTACCAGCCTCTCAACAGACAGGGAAACAGAGCCTAAATACACACACTCTAATCAGCACAACCAGACACAGGTGAGGGGGGAGGAGACAACACAGGACACCAGGTGCACACAATCATCAGCCACAGACAACATATTATTTGCACCCTGATTACTCTCAACCGCTGTCATCCTTACACCAGCATAACTACTCTCTGCGCTCTCGCTAACTCCCCTATCTTTCCAGGCGGAGCCGAGGACCCGACCAGCACCTGCCAGACAACATTCCAATAACTACGGTTTAATCAGTTAAAAAATACTACCTCAATAATTAGTATGAATTATGTGCAAATATGTAATGTCAACTGTACTGTGCAATCACGCTAATAAAGTGCAAGATTACCCGGCCTGAAGCCGTCAGTCCATAGTGACGACGTTACCTTCGTCACTAAATGTATGCCCATAACAGTACACTGTCCCTTGATTGTGGAATCAAACAATTATACACAAATGATCGCGTTCAGGCCATTATGTTTTTCTGCCACATGTCTAGTTTCCCCCTCTTTACGACCCCCCACATCAAGTGTGGCCTTTCAGGACAGCTACAAACACTTTTGCCTTTTGACACATCATAAAATGTCTTTTTTGTGTACATGTCTGGACGGTCAGAACATCCAGCCCGAGTCACAAGAGTCATTTTGAAAGCATTCAACAGCTCAGCATCACTGCAGACAGCACATGATACATTCTGTTCTTGTATACATCATATTATATTTACGTGTATATAGACTTCTTGCACTATTATTTTATTTATATGTTATTATATCACTATGTTGCATTGTTGGAGGAGCTCGGGTCATAAGATTTTTTCATTCCATCATTTATCATAGCTTAGCAAATAGTGGCAGTAATCACGAGGCTCAAGTTGCCTGTTGCCGACCCATGCTGTAGGCTGCACACTCTATAGTTCAACTTTTACATTTCTATTTGCAGGTTGCCTCAAAGGCCTCGAGCTCAAACAAATATGAGGCAAAAAGAAAATGCAAATGGTTGCCGGAGTGGAAGAAAACCTTCCCATTTGCTGAATTTGATGCAGAGACAGGCATGATGTTCTGCAAAAGCTGTCGTGCAATTCCCAGTCTTGCGAAAGGGAACAACCTTTTCGTTGGTGTGGGTGGTGGCAAAATCCGGATAAAAACACAGCAAAACGACATCACATTCTGACTGCGAAGGCGCTCAGGCTGAGAAAGTAAACCCAAGCGGAACACCCATGGCTTGTGTCCTACAAAATATGTCAGAGAAAAGATGACAAAGCTATTTAATATAGCTTACTTTGTGGCAAAAGAAGAAGCCCCCTTCACCATGTTTCCAAGCCTAGTTGACTTGCATCACAAAAATGGTCTGGACTTTGGTGACACTTACAAGAACGACAATGCCTGTCGCACCTTTGTCCAGGCCATAGGTCAATCTATGAAGGATGACCTGGTGGAGAAACTAAAAAACACACACTTCTTCTCTGTCATGTCCGATTCCAGTGTTGACCGCTCCCAGAAAGATCAGGAGATGGTCTACTTGACATATGTGGAAGATGGCAAACCTGTCAATCCATTTGTGGACATTGTTTCATTGGAGTATGCCCACAGCCAAGGCATCCTTGACGCAATACTTGTTGGTTTGAGGAATGTGGGCCTGACTGAGCAAGACTTGAAATCCCGGATGGTTGGCTTCGGCTATGAGGATGGGAGTTCACAATGGAGTGGCAGCCAAGCTGAAACAAATGTGTTGTACCAATCTGGTGTGTGGCTCACAGACTGGAGCTGTCAGCAGGGTCTAAGTTTGCTTCCATTTTGGTAGAGCCCCCCTGGAGAAAAATGCACCAGCCGCCACTGAATTCAGATTATGCTCAGAAAGTCTTTTATTCGCCCCTCTCACTGAGAGAAAATATACGTTGTTGAGAAAATAAAAATGGACAAATACTATAAGTAACATAAAGTGGTAACCACACGTTAATTCAATCTAATAAATACACGAACATACTGTGGTAAGATTTGTCTTTTTCTCCATGTGATTTGGTTGGCAGCTCTGGGAAGAAGTTAAATGAAGTTGCAATTATTTCCCTTAAAGAGAAATGGTCAGATGTCAGGATGTGGTCAGGCCTGCTAGCATGATGCTACAGCGTGTTAATGTTGCATCTTGTATCAGCTGTGAAGACTGAAGACTGTGAGGACTTCCTTCCAGAAGCGCGCAATACAGGGCTTCCAATATTTACCCCACATGACCCAAACAATTCATGTGAAATACTCTATTCATGTTGCCCTTGTATTGCTGCATGATCTAAACACCTATTAAGAATACATTCTGCAAACAAATGATGACTTGTCTGCATTATATTTCTTATTATTGCAGAGAAATGTACGCTATTATATAACATAATCTCAGATCATTTAAAGGTGAGAAACGAAGGAGGTATACATCTATGAAGTGTTGCACAATTCCTATGCACTATTGTAAGTATTTTATTTGTATGTTAAGTATATCTATGGTGCATTGTTGAAGGAGCCTGGGACTTAAACGACAAAAACATTTGTATCTTTGAGTCAATCAATATTTGAAATGGCCTTCCCTCACCTTAACACCATGTACATGTACTATACAGCTGCTGGGGAGGACACAGTGGTCTCTTTACAGATGTGACAGCAACTGCTTTCCATTGTGAACAAAGCACACATGCATCATGATGGAGTCCGTTCCCTCAGTGTTGTGATGTATTTCCATTTCATAAGAGGTGTTTCTTTTACTTATTAAATACTTATCTACTCACTTGTTTACAATATACCATTAGCTAATACAAAATATAAATCCACTAATATGATTAAAGGCTTAGATGCCTAGCAGCAGCATATTGAGTCATCACAATGAGCTGTGATTCAGGCATCAATCATCACAATCCAGTCATATTATATATATTCTGAAATTGGCCATTACACTTAGCAAGTACTTTAACTTGTGGTACTTTAAGTATATTTTGATGATATTTGATCTGAAGGCAGGACTTAAACTTGTGACTCAGTATTTTTACAATAACAGTAGTATATGTCTTGTTTAAAGATCTCAGTACTTATTTGATCAATAACGGTACTAAGTCTGGATAGACCACCTCCTCGAAAGTTACTAACAGTAAAAAGTATTGTTTACCGAGGTTATGTGTTGTTGTTTTTGTAGACAACACTGTGTATTAGCATTAGCTGCTGTAGCGCTTTATTGACAGCCTGTTATGCTAGCTAAGCTAATATTAGCTCCTTATCTATCTAACAGTCGGTGATTGTGTCCGTGTTGAACCTGCTGCTCGTTTCTGTTGAATCACTGACTTATGAACTGTCAGAGCTGAGTCTAGCAGCAGTGGGGGCTGGTTCCGCCTAGACCCTGTTCTCCCAGCCGTCACACAGAGCCACAGAGCGTTACCTGTCCCCGCTGGGTGCTGACGGTGGTCGCCATGTTGTCTCTGGGTATCCGCGGGAGATCAGATTGTGGAGTTCTTTAATCACTGAGTTCTTTAATCACTGAGTGCTGAGCAAATGAAATCACAACTTCAGAGCTGTCAGTGAGCAGATGGATCTAACTCGGATTTGTTAGCTTTGACCCGGAAGTTATTCTTTTTTTTCTTCTTTTTTTTAAAGAAAGCTTTATTCACAACCAGTTTCCCCATTCCGAATACAATACAACTTTTACTGAGCAGAATCCCAACATATACCGTGATTAAAACGACGTATTGTTAACATGAATAAACATATTTGTGATGAAGAGTAATTTATTATATTAAACAATTATGACAATGTCATAAGTTTCTCTTATGTTAGGCTAGTGTGTAGGCCTACACATCGTACAAATACATCAAATAGAAACAATATGATTTTTTCTTTTATTCTCTTTAAAATAACCCTATATTAAATATTTTCCAATTTGAATTTTTGTTTACAGTGAAGCTAGTTTTGGACATCTGGAAACATTATTTCCTTACTTCTGAGTGTAATCTGCTCTTTGATGAACATAACTCTTTTTAAGTATGTATGCGTCATGACTCATTTTGGCCTGTTACATAGTATATCATATGTAACAGGCTATTATTATATATACATGCTATGTCAATAATACTGTAGCATCAAATGGGAAATGAAGAAGTGACTCATGCATATACAAAGGACCCAGTAGAGTGGTGCAGGAATGAGTCCTAAACCAGGAAATGATTTGGCATTTATAGCTTGCTCCTTCGTCTTGAAATCACTGGTTAAACTCCTGAAAATAAGGTCTGTGGTTAATGAAAGTTTCTTTAAAAAAGTTGCCGTTAAAAGTTGACCAAATAGCAAAACGGTGGTGACGCAAAGTCACATAATCACCATGTTATATTATGTTGGCTAATTAGGTTTGGCGATTGCATTTACTCGTAAACTATTATAAAAGTGGCGTTAATAAGATAATCCTGCTGAACATAACCTGTACAATAAAAAGGGGCAACACTCCGATCCTCTCTTATTTTCTTTTCTATATCACACCATAGTTTGTGTGGAGCATGGTGGAATAAATGAAATGGAATCGCACTTGGTTCCGACAGACGTAATATAACGTTTTCTCAAACATTTTAATTGGATGGAAAGTAAACAACCAAGCTATCACTCACTCATCACTCACTCACTCACTCACTCACTCACTCACTCACTCACTCACTCACTCACTCACATCACTCACTCACTCACTCACTCACTCACTCACTCACTCACTCACTCCACACACACACACACACACACACACACACACACACACACACACACACACACACACACACACACACACACACACACACACACACACACACACACACACACACACACACACACACACACGCACACGCACACACACACACTGCAGCTTCATGTCAGGTGGGAGGCAAAGAGAGACACGTCTCCCTCCTCAGAAAAGAAACATGTACAAGGGGTTCGTTCTGGTGACTCGGTGGGAGCGTGTCTATGTTCCCACAGCCCGATGGGGACATTGCCCCTCGGTCTGGCCGTGAAGCCCCGAAAATAATTGTATCGTCCTACGGCCACCATGGCCTGTGTGCCCCTGATACTGTTAAAATCTCGAAGTTGCTTCAAAAGCGTCAGAACAGTGGTTTCTGAACTGCATTATGCTGCGTTCACAACGGACGCGATGCGAATATTCGCATCGCTCTACCGCTGGAGTTTCACAGCGGCTGTCAGCTGTGTTTACTCCTGTCATTCAAACAGGACGCGCTGGAGAGGGGGCGGGGCTTATAGCCATGTAAATACTGTGGTGGAAACCAACTAATAATAATAATAATAATAATAATAGCTTCGATTTCTATAGCGCCTTTCAGGGGACCCAAGGTCGCTTCACAAGTAATAGTGCAAAGACAAACATAACAAAACAAAAGACAGACAAACAGAACAACAGATCGATTTAGGGGCCGAAAGCCTTGGCAAACAGATGGGACTTGAGGGCCCTTTTGAAGGCTTCAAGTGTGGGGATGTTGCGTATCTCCGCAGGGAGAGCGTTCCAGAGGGTGGGGGCTGCCACACTGAAGGCTCTGTCCCCGTAGGTTCGCAGTTTGGTGCGGGGGGTGGTAAGCAGGCCAGAGTCTGAGGACCGCAGGTTCCGGGGTGGGGTATGTGGGTGAAGGATGTCCGATAGGTACTGGGGGGCAAGGGCATGGAGGGATTTGTAGGTAAGGAGGAGGATTTTGTAGGATATGCGGGACTTGACCGGCAACCAGTGTAGGTGGATGAGGGTGGGAGTGATGTGCTGCCACGGTTTTGTGTGCGTGAGTACCGTAGCAGCACAGTTTTGGACATACTGGAGCCTGTCCAGGGTTTTGTTGGGAACCCCGAACAGGACACCATTGCAGTAGTCCAAGCGGGTGGTGACAAATGCATGGACTAGGGTTTCGGCAACCGACTCCGAGAGTGACGGTCGGAGTCTGGCAATGTTCCTCAGGTGATAAAAGGCAGATTTGGTCACAGATTTGACGTGGGAATGGAAGGAAAGGGTGGAGTCGAGGATGACACCCAGGTTGCGGGCTTCAGGAGATGGGGAGATGGAGCAGCCGTCAACCTCAAGGACGAAGTCACCAACCTTCTGGAGCAGGGCCTTGGGTGCCACAACCATGAGCTCTGTTTTCATGCTGTTTAGTTTCAGATAGTTGCATGACATCCATGCTTTGATGTCATGCAGGCAGTTGATGAGAGACTGAGGGGGGAGCTGGGAGGATGGAGTGGTGCTAGACAAAATTAACCTATTTTACCGTGATTTAATTGTAATACACGTTTCAAAATGATGCCGAAGTAACTGAATACTGATAACGGTCAGTAAAAACCGTGCTTTGACAAGTGTGCAGACAAGACGGCAGGTGAACAACTTTTAAAATGCGTGTTCTCTGAATGGAGCGACCTCCATTCGATCAGATCAGGCTAAACGAACCTGTATCTGCTCCGTCCAAACTCACAACAACGTCCTAAAGACAGAATTAAAGCAGCGACTGTATTCGCATGACACAGACAGTCCTGTGAGGAGTTGATTAAAGAGACTCTCTCACACACACGCGCACACGCACACACACACTTTTGCATTTCAAAGTATCGCTTGTTCATACAGTTGGATGTTGGAGCTTCACTGTGCACTGCTGAATGATGTATGTGCAGAGTTGGACCCTTGAAGGCTGTTTCTTCTGCTCTGAAATGGAATATATTTGTTACATAATATAATTTTAGATTTTTGGATTTGATTTTGGATTTGTGAATGGGAGAAGTAATAGATGGAAAAAATACCAAACACTAATTATTCATAGTAGAGTATTTCATTTTATATACGGTAATACTAAGGAGGAATAGGCCTATATGATGATATAATGTTTGACATTATTGATATTAAAAAAGTGATTTGTTTTCCATATCATTCGTGGGTTTTTCTTATCAGAAAGTGAAGTTATTTATTTGTAAGCTCCAAATCCAAATGTTTCCCTCAATGGCCTTTGTGCCCTGGCATGTGGCCTTTGCGCCCTGAAAAAATGTGACACACCAAAGGCCAAATGGCCTTGCCCCTAAGATGAGGAAAATCCAAGCCTGGTTACCGCTGTGTTGTACACAACATTTAAGGCAAGGCAAGGCAAGGCAAGTTTATTTATATAGCACCTTTCAACACAAGGCAATTCAAAGTGCTTTACAAAAAATGAAAGACATTAAGAAAAAGGCATTTAAAATCAGTCATTAAAAAGAAAAGATAATAAAAGAAACATTAAAAGAAAAAGTACATGGATAAAAGTTACAGTGCAGTCTAAGATATGAATAGTTCAATTAAACATTAAAAGAAAAAGTACATGGATCAAAGTTGCAGTGCAGTCTAATATATGAATAGTTCAATTAAAAGCAGCGACAAAAAGAAAAGCCTTCAGCCTGGATTTAAAAGTAGTCAGAGTTGCAGCGGACCTGCAGGTTTCTGGGAGTTTGTTCCAGATATTTGGAGCATAATAACTGAACGCTGCTTTACCATGTTTAGTTCTGACTCTGGGGACAGAAAGCTGACCAGTCCCTGAAGACCTGAGAGATCTGGATGGTTCATCATTTAGCAGGAGGTCACAAATGTATTTTGGGCCTAAACCATTCAGTGCTTTATAAACCAGCAGCAGTATTTTGAAATCTATTCTTTGACACACAGGAAGTCAGTGTAAAGACTTCAGAACAGGAGTGATGTGATCCACTTTCTTAGTGTTAGTGAGGACTCGAGCAGCGGCGTTCTGAATCAGCTGCAGCTTCCTAATAGATTTTTTAGTGAGACCTGTGAAAACACCATTACAGTAGTCCAGTCTACTGAAGATAAAAGCATGGACAAGTTTTTCCAAATCCTGCTGTGACATTAGTCTTTTAATCCTAGATATATTCTTTAGGTGATAGTAGGCTGATTTAGTAACAGTTTTAATGTGACTGTTGAAACTCAGGTCAGAGTCCATGACTACATCTAGATTTCTGGCTTTATCTGTTGTTTTGAACATTGCAGACTGAAGCTCAGCGCTAACTTTTATACGTTCTGCCTTGGCTCCAAAAACCATTACCTCAGTTTTATCTTTGTTTAATTGGAGAAAGTTCTGACACATCCAGTCATTGATTTGTTCAATGCACTTACTCAGTGTTTGAATTGGAGCATAGTCTCCTGGTGAAATTGTTACGTAAATTTGTGTGTCATCTGCATAGCTATGGTAACTTATTTTGTTGTTCTTCATTATCTGAGCCAGTGGTAGCATGTAGATGTTAAAAAGAAGAGGCCCCAAGATGGAGCCTTGAGGAACCCCACATGTCATATTTGTCAACTCAGATGTGTATTTATCTATAGAAACAAAGTTGTTTCTGTCCTTTAAGTAGGATTCAAACCAATTTAGAACTGTTTCCGAAAGTCCCACCCAGTTTTCCAGTCGGTCGAGTAATATGTTGTGGTCAACAGTGTCAAACGCAGCACTGAGATCTAATAATACTAACACTGAAGTTCTGCCACTGTCTGTGTTTAAGTGGATGTCATTAAAGACCTTTACAAGAGCAGTCTCAGTGCTGTGGTTTGGACGAAAGCCTGACTGGAACACATCGAAACAGTTATTTAAATGCAAGAAATTACTTTAACACAAATATTCAAACATGAAGGATGCTTCTGGTGTCCACACATTGTTTTCTATAGTGTATAAACAGAGTGACATCCCAGATATCAAAACTGATTGGAAATATTTAGAATACCTTTAGGGTGCCTGATTTTTGGACCAATAACAACACGCACTCTAAATGTATTCTAAATATTTCACATCACATTTGAATGTGTTTTTTAAGATGACATTTCAGTGAGAACCTTGTCATTCTCAAAACTCCTTTTCTGTTGTTAAAGTCACAAGAACCGGTTGCAGCTTTACAGAAAGCTTTTCTTAATTTGTCTATAGTAATCTGAGATAAATCCCCTTTGTTGTAACCTCGCAGAGAAAGAAACATTACAGTTTTATTATTAAATATATTTAAATCTGGTTTAAAAAGTATATCATTATGTTTGTCCCGGCCCATAGAGAGCCGAAGTCCCTCCCTTTCCGGTGATCCACCATGGGACCTTATTTCGGAAAAATTATGTATTGAAGTCAATGGAGAGAGAAATTATCTTTCGATCCCGTTTGAATTGTGCCATGAATGACACATGATGTTTGTCAATTTAAAAGAAAATGTTGCAAGTCAAGAAAAAAATAGTTTGTCGTAAAACTGTGAAGTTACACTTATTTTTGCGTGAAATCGCTCAATGAACTACATCTCTGGTCTCGTACAATACACGTCACCTTAGCACATTTCCCCTGTTTCTTTCAGAATGAGGCGGAAAGTATGAAACGAGGTGAAAATCATTACACGTCTGGGCATGTTGAGAGCTGCAAATACACAAAAGGGGAGTTAGTCGGTTCCGTAAGAGCCAGCATGCGGGACCGGCTTTACAAGGTTTCGGTGAGTGTAATGTGTAACGTTAATGTCAGCTAGCTAACATCAGCTAACAAGGTACACTCCCGTGTTTTGTTTTAGCAACTAGTTTTCTCGTTAAGAATTGCGTGATCGCTGTGTATGCTGTTGATAACATTAGTGTTGGCAAGGACAAGGTACACAAAAAACTAGTTGCTATAACAAAACACGGGAGATTTGTTGACAAAATACATTTAAAGTCAAAGTTTCAGGTTTTCAGTGATAGAAGCAGCACCCTCTAATCAGCTGTTAATTTCCAATGAGTTGCAATGTGGCAGCTTCCATCACTGCTCCCCATTGCAGCTGGTTTCCATAAAATGTATCAAGGGGGCATAACCAGTCTGACATGCATTCACTACGTCATCCTGGGGTTTTTCCTGTCGGTAAGGGCCTGCTGCGTACCTGCTAAGGCCCGGCCAAGGATGGAACGTTATCAAACATGTGACGTTTTGGGCCGTTTGGAGCATGTTCACTGGAGTTATGAGACAACCGTGTTTCATGGCGAGCATTGTGTTGCCATGGCAACAGCATTTGAGAAAAATAAAAACAATTAAACGTATATGTCTTAAGGGCTGGACTGTGAAGTTTGACCAGTGTATGACCATTTTCATTGGAGTTATAGCAATATCGTGTTTAACGGCGAGGGTTGCGTTGACATGGCAACGGCTTTTGAGGAAAACTCACAAGTGGCACATAGACATGTTGAGGTCCGGACCATTAACCATAATCTGAAGTCTGGTGCCATTTGGACGATTTTCCTTTTTGTTTAGTCTCCGCACCCTAGATATACGTAGCAATTTTCGTTAGTTTACGTGAAAGTGGGGGGAGTTTACGTTAAAACGGAAGTGGGCGTACATTTTGACCAGTCCTGACGCACGTGCAACATTTGGTGAGTTCTTCATATAAATGATGTAGCGAAGCCCACGTCACTGTAGTCGCGCGGGTTATCTGCCGTTATGATTTCGGAACATCTTTCTTGCTTTGCCGGTCGTTTTCCCTGTTTTGTGTGTTTGGCAGGGCTGCGCGAGCGATTACAATAGGGTCTCAGACCCTAACTATTGAGGGAATTTATAATATCAGAGAATTAGGCCCAGACAGCATGCATGATTTAAAATGTAGATAGGAAAACATTTGGTCAGTTTTAAACAATCAAAATTCTCTGTTCACGTGCAGATGTTCTATGTCTCTGTCCAAGTGTTCTCTTCTTCTCTGCTCCTGCATGAGAGCAGCTGGAGGCTCACTAGTTACTCACTAGATAGTAAACTATCAACGTTGAGGACTCCACACTTCAGATGGATCATATTTGAAAACCTTTTTTTTAGCTTCGTCGCAGACTAATGAGGTGCCATCTTTGCCTGTTGGTCCTCCTGTTCATGTGAGGAGCCGATTGGTGCTGCAGGAACCTTCTAGAAGTTACCCCTCTTAACCCTGTTACACACTAGGAAAGGACTAAGAAGAAAATAAGATATAACTGAGTATCGAAGCGGGATGAGAGCATGGGTGAATGGTAGCTTACCCTCAGTGGGGGTCTGTTGGACACACAGTACACACACAGAGGCCACTTGTGTTTGATATTGATCTGTGACACCTCACAAAACTCATTTCATGAAGCTCTTCGACATACATCGTCTCTGCGACTCCGTAAAAAGAGAACAATACTGATTGTGCAAAACATTTGGCACCAGTTTATTCATAATTTAATTTAACACAAGTTAGATCACATTTTGCCAAGAATTTCAGTGCAGATAATACAAAAACATGCATACTAAATACACTGTGACAAAAGTCCCTGCTCTGGGTTGTGTGTGATTCTGCACACAGAGAAGAACAGCATGTGTGCTTCCAGTCAAAAATACTGACAGTCCTCAGAACATATCTCTAACGGAAACCTTTACCCTCTGCTAGCCTAGCATTAAATGACTAATATCTAACAACACGTGATCACTAACCTGCTTTCAAAGTGTCAGTCATTTGACACACACGCGTGAGCTAAATCACACACAAACAGAGCACTGCCCACAACACAGCAGATCAAATAAGTTAAAGTCACACTCCGCTCAAACTGGTTTTGCAAAAACTAGTGGTTATGTGTCAGTTCTACAAAAATAGATTCTCTGTTTGGATTGTAACAATTTCAAATGAAGCCTAAAACGTTTCTTGGGGCAGTCTTCCCCGACTGGCGGGACAGAGGACAAACAGAATGGAAGACAACCAAACACAACCTCCTGGTAATCAATGCCAAACACAAGGTCAGGGGAGACATTGGAAACATCAGAGAAGAGCAGAAGACAAGGACTGGACGATGAAGTGACGCCACAGCAACATGCTAGGCAAACAGGAAGAGATCTAGAGAGAACAGAAAGAAAAACACGGAGACACACTAAGTTAAACTGCAATGAACACAGACAGGAGAGAGGAGGAAACTAAGAATGAGAAAACCTCAGTGTACACAGTCAGGGACAGAGAGGACGACACACACACACACACACGACATTTGAAACAAAGCACAGCACAGAATGAATGACACATGCAGGTTCACCAGAGATCACATCAATAATATATTATATTTCATACTGATCTGTTCATATCTATTATTATTAACGGTTAACTGGTATTCATTTATTGCAATTAAAAAGTGATGAGAATTCAAATAGAAATGTTACTCCAAATGACTGATGAATGAATGGATTTGAAAAATGCTTTTATTTTAAATGTACCATACTAGCAGTATTACATGTTTTAGCATAATTCTCAGAACATAATATTTAATGTCACAGCTAACCATTGTGCAAATGTTGCAATGTGTTCAACCATTACAATCATCTAATAGTTTCTGTATAGCTTTGTTCAATCTGGAGATAGTGGATGAGTTTACTGCGATCATAACTGATCTATGTCAGTGTCACTGTTGTTGATTGGTGATAGGAATATTAATGTCACAGAGAAATGAATAGAAACCTGCGGCTTCCAGAAATAATCACTACAACTCCACTGATGGAAATAGTCCCGAACAATGCACTTGTTTCCCGAATGAAAAACCTAAGGTCCTCAGCTTTTTCACACACACACACACACACACACACACACACACACACACACACACACAACCACACACACACACACACACACACACACACACCACACACACACACACACACACACACACACACACACACACACACACACACACAACACACACACACAACCACACACACACACACACACACACACACACACACACACACACACACACACACACACACTTTTTGTATACAGTAAGACACTTCGTGTGGGGAACACAGTGAGTGACAATATTCTTCGTGGTGACGTCTGAAGGTGACACACACACACACACTTTTCCCGTCTTCACTTGGGCTCAACCTTCGGATTTGGACCTGGAATCAGTTTTAAAACTGGTCCCAGTTCTAGAACTCGGACCAGAACCAGGCCTGGTGTGAAGTTGTTGACAACCAGTGAAATCACACTCTTCCTCACATGAAACAGGACCAACAGACACATGGACCTTTAGAATAAACTATGCTACCTGTGTTTTTGTAAAATGAGTGGTTTATTCAGATGAAGGCATATATGACAGAGAAGGAGATCTAAGAAGTGTGCAGCAGCACTGATGGATCCTACACACACAGTCCATGCCACACTGACACAAAGTACACATCACCAAACAGGCAAGGAAAAGACACACACACACCGGTGATCAGATTCAGCTGTTGGACTAAACATCTGTCTTTCAAAAATAATTTCAATTCAGATAAATAATTTAGGCAATAAATAGTTCCCCGACACACAGGGGAAGTATAAAACCTATAAAAAAATAAAAAAAGGCATAATAGTTTAAATATACATCTCAACAATTGTCTCACTTCCTAGTTCTATCAAATTAAATAAAACGCAATTTTTTGCACGTCTAAGTTACTAACAGGTTTGCCTTGAGCAAGTTGACATTGATATGAATAAGAGTTCGGTGAGAGACACAGTGGTGTAGCCCTCTGTAGGTTAGCCAGCTGTTAGCTAGCAGGACAGTTGCTGAGGGTGATTCTTTACACAACACCAGGATTCAGGGTAGAAAGCTACTAAAACCATCAAATAGATTCAAACAAAGTAATACATGTGCATCAGACAGACTCTGGGTTATTCAGATGAAGGTAACAGACCTATCATGTTTGGTTTTTACTTCACAGTATTCCCAGGAACAGCTGACATCAGCAGCAGAGGAGGAGCTCCGCTGAATCATACTCTGTCCTCGAGGAATCTCAACACTTAAGTACAATTTCATCTGCAGTGGAAGTGAGTCCGCCTGACGGCCAGATCAAAGAGCACAAAGGAGCAGCCTTTAGCTACAGAATGGTGCAGTGATGATGTCTTCATCTCCAGAAGTAAAAAGCTAATGTCAGCCTATAAAGGAACTACTTGACCTCACATCAGCATTAGCCTAAGCTAAGGCGGCTAATGTTTGGTGTGATGGCGTTTAGTCATCTCATTTATACACTCTGTTGCCATATAGGAGCTTCAGACATTCACCAGTGGGGGTTAACATATTCTACACGTTATATAGCAAACACATGAACATCTTTTTTGCTTGTGTTAACCACAGACCTTATTTCAGGTTTCTAATCATAAACAAGTTCCAATCGGATGTTGGAAAATACTGACTTATATCCAGTGTTTTAGGACTCATTCCTGCACCACTCTATCATATCCAGCCAATGTTTGATTACAGCTAAACCTATAGGCACATGTGCAGAATCCACTTGAGGCACCTTGCTAAATGCAAGCCCTTCAGCAGCTGCAACACTCCGAGAGAAGCATTCAGTCTGTATCACACTGCTGCAACACACACACACACACACACACACACACACACACACACACACACACACACACACACACACACACACACACCCTGCGTCAAACTCACACAGTGAGGACTAATATGTCTAAAATCTCTAAGCATGTTTGAGTGGAGCTCCTCCTCATGAACGATGTCAGCTTCTGTACTTACCCTGACATCTAATGTAGGCGCATATCACATACACTGTCTCTATTTTAACAGATAATACAAGTGTTTCATATAAAAGCAGGTTGGAGAAAATGTAAAGTGAACGTAGTTATGATTTCTGTTCATCTGCCTGTTTTCAGGAGCATACTGCTCAGTCTGGGTGGGGGGGTAAACAAGAAGGAAACAAAGATGGATTTGGCACGGCTCTGACCACACTGTCAATGTGCAACACGTCCTAACAATCAACTCATATGTATAGAAAGTACCACAGCAAACTGATAACATTTCAACTTAAAAAAAAACACCCGTTTGTCTTATTAGTGAAAGGAAAACAAAGTGCACAAACCACAACATAGCACATGAACAATCCAGTGTAGCCTGAAAGCTCTTCGTCATGTGACCCGCTGGACATGTGAGTGCCCAGAGGCAGAGCAGCGTCACCCTGTAATGCATAGGCCAGTTCTGAGTGGGCCAGGCTCCGTTATTCACACTCCACTTACCATAACAGCACCCTGCCTAGCTAAGTGTTCAGTACGGCTTGCTGTCATTCTTTGAGCGCTTCAGCTGCACCTTCAGCCGCTTCATGCCGATCTGGAAGCCGTTCATGGACTGGATGGCGGCCTGCGAGGACACGGGGTTGTCATAGCTCACAAACCCTACAGGAGAGATACGGAGGAGAACAGCTTTAAACAAGACCCTCAGGGAATGTGCAGTCTGGTAAGCTGGGTGTGGCAGAGCGGAGGGAGCGCTGTAGCCCCATAGCTCACACTAGGTTATTAAGGTTATAGATTTTTATTACACGGGTAATTGAATTACTCGCCGAATAATGACCGTTGCTATGGAGGATCAAGGGAGAGAAAGAGGTTAAAAGACAGGGTGTTGGACGTCAGAGACATCAACAGAAGAAGACAGACAGGAAGTAAACACTTAAGGGAACGGCAGAAGAAGACAGACCGGAAGTAAACACTTAAGGGAACAGCAGAAGAAGACAGACCGGAAGTCAACACTTAAGGGAACATCAGAAGAAGACAGGCAGAAAGTAAACACTTAAGGGAACAGCAGAAGAAGACAGGCAGGAAGTAAACACTTAAGGGAACAGCAGAAGAAGACAGGCAGGAAGTAAACACTTAAGGGAACAGCAGAAGAAGACAGGCAGGAAGTAAACACTTAAGGAACAGCAGAAGAAGACAGGCAGGAAGTAAACACTTAAGGGAAGAGCAGAAGAAGACAGGCAGGAAGTAAACACTTAAGGGACCAGCAGAAGAAGACAGGCAGGAAGTAAACACTTAAGGGACCAGCAGAGAAGACAGGCAGGAAGTAAACACTTAAGGGACCAGCAGAAGAAGACAGGCAGGAAGTAAACACTAACAGGAACCCGGTATGGGCTCTGCAGTGTTGAAGGACTGGTTAGTGGAACAGAAACTGTGAACAGAGTTGGATAGTTACAGAAAACATTGTTCAGTGCTGCTGTCAGTTTAAATCACGTTGCTGTTGTCTCAGTGCCAGCCGTTGGTTCGTGAAAAACTGACCATTTTTTTCTTAGCAGAAGAGATATGATCATTTTTAAGTCAATACAAATTCTTTCAAGTCGTTAGTTATTTAGAATGTGGCCATGTAATAATAATGTGCATCAAGGCGGTCAATAATGAAAAGAGAACACCCTTGCTGAACATTCTCCCTTACTTACAAGGGGTCTGACTCAGATATGATATTGATCAAAAGCTTATAAGCTGAAGTACTTTGCGTAACTCACCAAAACACTTGCTGAGGTTTGTCTGTTTGTCGATGAAGACTTTAGCAGAGATGACATTTCCAAAGGGCATGAACATCTGGAGCAGGTCCTGGTCTCCAAACTCCTGCGGCAGGTGGTAGATGAACAGGTTGGCACCTTCTGGACCTGCCAATAAAACAGCAGTGATAAATTAACTCATGACTGACGGGAAACCTGTGTAAACTTCATTTATTTTTCACCACCGTCCCAAACCAGTACACCGTCTACTGTGCTTCATTTTTAGGGAAAGATCTGTTCATTTTGGTTAGTACCTTCCTGTGTTATTAGATGATTATGAGGTGTAATTGTTTGAAAGGGTGATGTGAAATACTTCACTAAGGAGTTCATGCATGTAGAAGGCTAAGAAAACCTGGTCTGAATAAGAAACTGTAATCCCTCACTACAGATAGTGACTCTATCAACACAACACATGTCTCTGTTTCACAGTCAAACTTTATTAGAGCGCTGACAGATTACAATGAGAAATGCATGATGTTCTCTACAGTCATTTGAGAGGGTATCAAACAGATCATCTGTAGCTTTGAAAAACATTTCACAGCATAAATATATCAAAAACAATCTGACAAGTAAAAACGTTCCAAGAAGTACAACATATATAGGTTCTTCTGTGAGACATGGAGTACAGTCCTCACAGTAGCTGCTGATACTTTAGTTACTTTGTTTTAGAGAAGATTACTCTGAGCTACATCATCACATATCTCTTCACAACTAATGATTTCTTTTTTTCCAACAACAAGTTCCCTCCGTCAATACTGTCACCCACACACTGGGCTGTGTAGAGACTGTGTGCTGCCAGAGAGTTGGGACTCTCCCAGTGTAAAGAGCCATATAGCGAGCGACATGGCTTCTGGGCAGCTAAACACAAGACAGTCCTGAGTGGCTTTTGGGCAGCTAAACACAAGACAGTCCTGAGTGGCTTTTGGGCAGCTAAACACAAGACAGTCCTGAGTGGCTTCTGGGCAGCTAAACACAAGACAGTCCTGAGTGGCTTTTGGGCAGCTAAACACAAGACAGTCCTGAGTGGCTTCTGGGCAGCTAAACACAAGACAGTCCTGAGTGGCTTCTGAGCAGCTAAACACAAGACAGTCCTAAGTGGCTTCTGGGCAGCTAAACACAAGACAGTCCTGTGTGGCCTCTGGGCAGCTAAACACAAGACAGTCCTGAGTGGCTTCTGGGCAGCTAAACACAAGACAGTCCTGAGTGGCTTCTGAGCAGCTAAACACAAGACAGTCCTAAGTGGCTTCTGGGCAGCTAAACACAAGACAGTCCTGAGTGGCTTCTGGGCAGCTAAACACAAGACAGTCCTGAGTGGCTTCTGGGCAGCTAAACACAAGACAGTCCTGAGTGGCTTCTGGGCAGCTAAACACAAGACAGTCCTGTGTGGCTTCTGGGCAGCTAAACACAAGACAGTCCTGAGTGGCTTCTGGGCAGCTAAACACAAGACAGTCCTGAGTGGCTTCTGAGCAGCTAAACACAAGACAGTCCTGAGTGGCTTCTGGGCAGCTAAACACAAGACAGTCCTGTGTCTCTTCTGGGCAGCTAAACACAAGACAGTCCTGTGTCTCTTCTGGGCAGCTAAACACAAGACAGTCCTGAGTGGCTTCTGGGCAGCTAAACACAAGACAGTCCTGTGTGGCTTCTGGGCAGCTAAACACAAGACAGTCCTGAGTGGCTTCTGGGCAGCTAAACACAAGACAGTCCTGTGTGGCTTCTGGGCAGCTAAACACAAGACAGTCCTGAGTGGCTTCTGGGCAGCTAAACACAAGACAGTCCTGAGTGGCTTCTGGGCAGCTAAACACAAGACAGTCCTGTGTGGCTTCTGGGCAGCTAAACACAAGACAGTCCTGTGTGGCTTCTGGGCAGCTAAACACAAGACAGTCCTGTGTCTCTTCTGGGCAGCTAAACACAAGACAGTCCTGTGTGGCTTCTGGGCAGCTAAACACAAGACAGTCCTGAGTGGCTTCTGGATAGCTAAACACAAGACAGTCCTGAGTGGCTTTTGGGCAGCTAAACACAAGACAGTCCTTAGTGGCTTCTGGGCAGCTAAACACAAGACAGTCCTGAGTGGCTTCTGGGCAGCTAACACAAGACAGTCCTGAGTGGCTTTTGGGCAGCTAAACACAAGACAGTCCTGAGTGGCTTTTGGGCAGCTAAACACAAGACAGTCCTTAGTGGCTTCTGGGCAGCTAAACACAAGACAGTCCTGAGTGGCTTCTGGGCAGCTAAACACAAGACAGTCCTGAGTGGCTTCTGGGCAGCTAAACACAAGACAGTCCTGTGTCTCTTCTGGGCAGCTAAACACAAGACAGTCCTGTGTGGCTTCTGGGCAGCTAAACACAAGACAGTCCTGTGTGGCTTCTGGGCAGCTAAACACAAGACAGTCCTGAGTGGCTTCTGGGCAGCTAAACACAAGACAGTCCTTAGTGGCTTCTGGGCAGCTAAACACAAGACAGTCCTAAGTGGCTTCTGAGCAGCTAAACACAAGACAGTCCTGTGTGGCTTCTGGGCAGCTAAACACAAGACAGTCCTGAGTGGCTTCTGGGCAGCTAAACACAAGACAGTCCTGAGTGGCTTCTGGGCAGCTAAACACAAGACAGTCCTGAGTGACTTCTGGGCAGCTAAACACAAGACAGTCCTTAGTGGCTTCTGGGCAGCTAAACACAAGACAGTCCTGAGTGGCTTCTGAGCAGCTAAACACAAGACAGTCCTGTGTGGCTTCTGGGCAGCTAAACACAAGACAGTCCTGAGTGGCTTCTGGGCAGCTAAACACAAGACAGTCCTGTGTCTCTTCTGGGCAGCTAAACACAAGACAGTCCTGTGTCTCTTCTGAGCAGCTAAACACAAGACAGTCCTGTGTCTCTTCTGGGCAGCTAAACACAAGACAGTCCTGAGTGGCTTCTGGGCAGCTAAACACAAGACAGTCCTGAGTGGCTTCTGGGCAGCTAAACACAAGACAGTCCTGAGTGGCTTCTGGGCAGCTAAACACAAGACAGTCCTGTGTGGCTTCTGGGCAGCTAAACACAAGACAGTCCTGAGTGGCTTCTGGGCAGCTAAACACAAGACAGTCCTGAGTGGCTTCTGAGCAGCTAAACACAAGACAGTCCTGAGTGGCTTCTGGGCAGCTAAACACAAGACAGTCCTGTGTCTCTTCTGGGCAGCTAAACACAAGACAGTCCTGAGTGGCTTCTGGGCAGCTAAACACAAGACAGTCCTGTGTGGCTTCTGGGCAGCTAAACACAAGACAGTCCTGTGTGGCTTCTGGGCAGCTAAACACAAGACAGTCCTGTGTGGCTTCTGGGCAGCTAAACACAAGACAGTCCTGAGTGGCTTCTGGGCAGCTAAACACAAGACAGTCCTAAGTGGCTTCTGGGCAGCTAAACACAAGACAGTCCTGAGTGGCTTCTGGGCAGCTAAACACAAGACAGTCCTGTGTGGCTTCTGGGCAGCTAAACACAAGACAGTCCTGTGTGGCTTCTGGGCAGCTAAACACAAGACAGTCCTAAGTGGCTTCTGGGCAGCTAAACACAAGACAGTCCTGAGTGGCTTCTGGGCAGCTAAACACAAGACAGTCCTTAGTGGCTTCTGGGCAGCTAAACACAAGACAGTCCTGAGTGGCTTCTGAGCAGCTAAACACAAGACAGTCCTGTGTGGCTTCTGGGCAGCTAAACACAAGACAGTCCTGAGTGGCTTCTGGGCAGCTAAACACAAGACAGTCCTGTGTCTCTTCTGGGCAGCTAAACACAAGACAGTCCTGTGTGGCTTCTGGGCAGCTAAACACAAGACAGTCCTGTGTCTCTTCTGGGCAGCTAAACACAAGACAGTCCTGTGTCTCTTCTGGGCAGCTAAACACAAGACAGTCCTGTGTCTCTTCTGGGCAGCTAAACACAAGACAGTCCTGTGTCTCTTCTGGGCAGCTAAACACAAGACAGTCCTGTGTCTCTTCTGGGCAGCTAAACACAAGACAGTCCTGTGTCTCTTCTGGGCAGCTAAACACAAGACAGTCCTGTGTCTCTTCTGGGCAGCTAAACACAAGACAGTCCTGAGTGGCTTCTGGGCAGCTAAACACAAGACAGTCCTGTGTCTCTTCTAGCTGCTTTGCTTCCAGCATGTCTAAGAAACTAAGCTTTCAATTGAAAGAAAGTCATTTGCAGATGCACATTTTTCAAATATTGCCCGAGACAAGCTTTTTCAGTTTTTCCTGAGAAATCTATTTCAACTGTCTTTATTCAACAATTTTAACAATTCTCAATCTTATGCTTTTACTTTTATACATGAATCAACACAATGCATTAACTCATATACTCAAATAAAGTGTTTCAAATGTTGAAATGACACAGTTGGCAAAGTAGTGTATTGAAAATAAAGCGCCGCTTTGGTGTTAAATAAGGAGGTTTGTTTGTTTATTATCCATACATAGTAATAGTAAATAGTAGAGTTTATAGAGAGGCTTCAAACTCTGGCACAGAATACAGATGAGTGACAAAAGGAATCCCCTTTATTATAGTTTCTTGATGAAAGTCATTATTGCCTGAGTAATGTGTAGCCTAGGTAATGTGTAGCCTGTCACACAGAGTACCTACAGCCAGTTTAGCAGTGTCATTCTAAATATAGAAAATGGTTTTGGATAGAGAGAGTATGGCATGTATATGGACTTACTTTAACACACAAACAAACGTATTTGTGTATTAAGGTTAGCTCTTCTACATTCCATTCCTGTTATGGACTCAAGCTATAAGGTGGAGCAGTGACATGATGCCATGAGGCCGCGTCAGAGAAGGTGGAGACGTCTTACCGGTGCTGCGACTGTCGCCCGCTGACGCAGCAGATTTAAAACAAGACACAATGCTTAGAAGAAGGTCAACACACAACACACACACATCTGTACCAAACAACACAACTTCAAATCAAGTCAGGAGACAAGCACGGAGTATGCTCCCACCCTGTTAGCTCTCTTTCTGGAAGTATTCTCCATTCAACTCACATTTTAAATGTGGATAACTTTGAAGAATGCTCATACATTAAATCAATAGAATAGTAAATATTTCACCACTCTTTGTAAGTGGTGTAAGAAAATATTGTTGCAGTATAGTATCGCAATATTATGTTGCGTTACTGTACTGATTCTCAACAACACTATATCAAATTTGATTCAGCTTAATCTGTTTGAATGCATAACATCAAATATAACAGTTTTCCATATATTTGATTTTTGAATCAACCCCTCATGATAACCTCAGTTTAAGCCTCTACAGCCCTTTATCCCTGCAGTCCCTTCCTCTGTCACCCCCCCTCCTCTCAGCCCCCAGAACCCACCTTCCTTCTGGCTGCCTGCGGCGGACACGCTCTGCTGGGACAGCAGGCTCTGGTTGTAGAGGCTGGGCAGGGCGGCGGCAGCGTACTGCTGGATGCCGGAGTACGCCTGGCTCAGAGCCTCCATGGTGTTTCCTGAGCCGTTAGACAGAGCTCCAGAGCCCAGGCTGCCATTCAGAGCTGCCATGCCTGCATCAGGGACAGCAGCCAGAAAACAGTCAGTAACTACAGTCACTGTCCATGTTATGGATATCAATGTTTAGGTCAGTTGTGAAAATTCATAATAACAAAAATGTAATGTATAACGCAGTTTTGAGGATACTCAAAGATGCTTCACATGAATGAAATAAAAGGACTTCAAACACAGTACAGGCGCTCAGACCGGTATACCTGTGATGTTAGACAGCTAATAACAATACCAGCAGACAGTGTGGAGTCAAGTCCATATCGCTGTACTGTACTGGCAGCATACATGTACATGTGCCGGTGGAACTACGGGCAGCTAACGTTAACATCCATTCAACTGGAATTACATTCACAGGACAACCTCTACATTGCCCCCCCCCTGGCCAGCAGAGAACAAACTCACAGCTACAGAGCTTTCTGTTTTCCCCTTGCAATAACCCTGAATTATTTGTACATATTATTACTCACACTGCCTCACTGCATTTAGACTACTTTGCACACATACCTATGTTTACAGTTTCTCTCAGTAGTAGGTTGGTCTATATAGAGTGTATTCGGACTTATTTCTATTCACTCACTTTATGTTTCTTATTTTTAATATTTTAATATTTTACGTTATTCTTTGTTTAATTGAAGTGCAATGCTGCTGTAAAAAAATCAATTGACCAATCGGTGATCACTAAAGTATTTTTGATATTTATGTAATCTTTATATTAACCCTGTCTTTTTAACTTTTAGAGTTTCACATCAAGCGTACTTCCTGTCCGTGATCTAAGCAGTGCAGATGGACGGGTCCAGTGTAGGTCCGTACCTGCCAGGGAGCCCATGTTGAGGCCGGCTCCAGCCCCAGCAGCGAGGGACTGCAGGGCCCCCAGAGAGGCCATGGGGTTCAGTGAGGAGTTACTGCTGGAGGTGGGGGAGGAGCCTGCTCAGGGAACATGAACTGTTAATGTTGGAACTACACATTATACTATGTTACAGCTCAGAGATAAACATTCTCACCGCATCACTCTGACCTTTGTTATTCATAATATAAATAAATCATAAAATATCAATCTGAGAAAAGTAGAGTTTGGAAAACACAAGTTTCCTGGACTCATATGGATGTCACCTTGACTATGTAACAGTATTGTATCATGTATTATTTAATGTCATATTGTTTTACCTGAGCTTGTTAGTGCACATAGTGGGCTACTAGAGGTTGTCATGGCGCTGGAGCCTGTGGGCGTGGCCTGTGTGGCAGCTGCTGCTAAAGCAGCCAGGTTCTGCATGGCATTAAGACCTGACAAACACACACACAGATAGTTCAACATGCAGCCCCCCGTCCTGGGATCACTATCAGCAGTGTTCTCTGGAGTGTGCTGCAGTACAGGGTTGAGGCTGAAGCATCATGCTCCTTATGACACCAGGGATCAGTATTAAACACATATACATTCAATTGTACATGACGGCATGATAGTTCATATTGGACATTGTATGAAGGCATGTGTGTGAGTGTGTGTGCACCTGAAACTGGGTGCAGGTTGTTGAGAGCGTTCCCTTGGGAGGCTGACTGCTGCAGCAGCTGTAAGTAGAGCTGAAGGAGAGAAGAGAACACGCTGAGGGGACAGTGGAGTTGTAACAGGCTAGTTGTACATGTTGCAGTAACACACACTCACTGCCAGATACTGAGGCCCCAGGCTGTTGAGGCCGGTGAGGTTTCCCCACATGGAGGCAGCACTGAGCTGCTGCATCTGCTGCTGCAGCTGCTGAGCCATGCGCTTCTGCTCCTTGTCCTTCTGAGTGTCCGCAAACTTCACCACAATGGGCGATGAGCAGCCCTGAGCACACACCAAGCATATACGATGGGTTTATTTGCAACTCAAGAGCATGTCTAATAATTGATACTTTTTCAAAAGCAGTGCTGTTTTACCTCCATGGTCTGGGACTGGTGCATGGACTTGATGGCTGACTGGGCCATCTGTCTGGCTGTGAACGTCACAAATGCACAACCTGGAAGAGAGAAACAAAAGGTGTCAGAATTCTCAGTGCCTTGATTCAAAAGTGACGTTTGTACCAGCCTAGATAGCGATGTGGTATCACTTTCACCGTGTGCCCACTTTGTGGGCAAATGATGATGTTGCAACAATGCAAGATGCAGGCTTCACCTTAAGTTTGAATATGTATGTAGGAGCCATTCCCTTAGTTTGTATTCATTTATCATTTACACCATGAATTGTGTGGTGTGAATTATTGAATGAATTAGTGTGTTATTAGTGTGGTCAGGTTTGCAGCATAAAGGAGAGGTGCTGCAGCCTAGAGGCGCGGCTGATTGAAGCAACATAGTCTTTAGACCTTGCTTCGTTGGCCGCGTGTGACCACTTGGTTCCTTATTGTGTTTGTTTGTGTTTAGAATACCAAAAAGGTTTATTCAGGAAATCATTTATTTGAAAACGTTAATGTTCTGGACATTCCTTTTTTCTCAACAACACGCATCTACTTATCAATCAGCCCGAGTGCATCACAAAGAGAAGAATCAGATACATGCATATTGTGGTCACTACAATTGAGCAGGGATTCCCCTTCCTTTAATGTTGGAATCCCTTTCTCCTGAGGTCAGGCCTGATGATATACATCTACACTACATGTTATTCCACTATTCATAAACATGTCAGGATCCTCTCCTATCCTCCTGGTTCATTCTCTCAGTGTGCCAGAAGCCTAGAGTTACGTTCTGCATTGCATGAAGGCTTTCTAAACTCCAGGTGCTTACTCTTGGAGTTGTTCTGGAGTTTTGTGAGCAATCCTAATAAACCTCAATATATTTGAACCACAGACATGTTTGTGTGTCTTTTGTGGCATCATTGTTGATGAGGTTGCTGAACAACCTTGGTATAACATTCATCTTACCCACCTGTATGCTACAATTGATTGAATGTCGTTTTTGATCGTTATACAAGGTGTTTCAATAATATGTGTTTTTTATTTATGGTTGTTTTGTATGTTGTTGTGATTTGATCCCAAATAGTTACAAAAGACATTGAGAAAAAAAGAAAAGACAAATTCAACAGCAAAACATCTACATTGTCAGCAAACAGACCAATGATGTTCTTTCTTACACTTTGATCTACTTCAGATATTTATTTTGCAATGCAGCTTTCACTAGTGGCTCAATATAAGGGGCAAAGAAGGGTTCGTGGTAATGGGATCAGTTGAAGTGGCGTCGAGTCTTAAAGACTCACCCATTAGACTCATCGGTTTGAACCTAATATTTTCAGGTGACGTGTGCAAAAGTCCTGCAGTGTGGAGGGTTTGGTTACGGCTATCTTAGATGTGATGGCCCTCCTCATCAATTCATGAGGTCAAATTGGAGTTGGTCTTCAGTCTACTCATTTTCTCTTTTCTTTAGTTTGATTTCTGAGGTAAGAGTACTCTACTGTGTGTCATCAAGGCAGGTCAAGGCCCTGAGGGGGCTGTGGAGTACAACATTTGACAGGATTGCTCAAATTCCTCTATAATGAATTCATTGTGTGTGTGTGTGTGTGTGTGTGTGTGTGTGTGTGTGTGTGTGTGTGTGTGTGTGTGTGTGTGTGTGTGTGTGTGTGTGTGTGTGTGTGTGTGTGTGTGTGTGTGTGTTTAAGAGGAATATATGCCTCACCCCGGCTGAGTCCGTCGGGGCCCCTCAGTATCCGGCACTCCTCTATCTGTCCGTACGGAGAGAACATCAGCCGGATGTCGTTCTCGTTACACTTCTTGGAGATCATTCCAATAAACAGCTTTCTGTCTTCCACTGCTGTTTTCAACACAACACAACATCAAACACACCTGCTCTGTGTCAAGGTAAATGGTGCCATATTCAACATGCAGAAATGTTTTATTATGGCTTCTTTAGCAAGCCATGTTATGAACTTCAAAGCGCTCAGTTGAGGACAATGTCTTCTAATAACAGCTGAGCTCTGCAGTTCTTAAAGGATGCTTATTGGTCATTTCTAAAGACTGAAAGGTTTTGCTTGCTGTAATAATTCATCCTGTTCATCCTGAGCATAAACAGATCCGTATCAGTATGGATGCAGCTACTAAAGTCAACAGGTAGTGAGTAATAAAGGAAAGAGGAGGATGTCAAATCCTTACCATTGTTTTTCTCACTGTCAGCGGGCTTCATCTGGATTGGGTGGTGCATCTGAACAAAGGAACAAATGACACATTCATATTTATTTTGTGAAATATAGTTTCAGAGTTTCAGGGCCAGAGAGTAAAGTATGAAGAAGGCCACTTGTTCTTGACTAAATAAACACTTAAGGCCCTGTCACACTGTCCCGAAATTGACACCCGATGGACACACGAATATGGAATTGTGAATTTCGCACGAAGATGGCCCCGAACCACACACGAAGGCAACATTTACATTACATTTAAGACATACAACTGCAATGAAAGTACCAAAAACAATTGTGTTACAGTACTATGATACTGTACTGGTATCTTCAGACTTTGTTCTTTACTTTATCCGTCTTTATATGTAGAAAATATTACGTTTTCTCCGTAATGTTGTTTCCATAACAACAACAACTTCCTGTCAACTGTCCTTCAAAATAATATATTATATCCTTTTTAGTTTCACAGAACACAAATTGGGTTATTTACATAATATGTTTACATGATTTTGTTGAGCAATAAAACAACCCGATGGACACACGATAAAGGAAATGTTCAAATTCGGCTGTGATCGTAGCGACATCGGGCCATTCGTGAGGGCATCTTAAGCCTTCGTATGACCGCCGGTGGAGTTTCTCAGGCTCCGGCAGCAACTTCGTGAGCGGTGGCAAAATCTTTGGCATGCCAAAAAATTGCCGAAGGACCTTGAGAAGGTTCATTTTCGTGTTGAATTTGTGTGTCAATGTTGCCCTTCGTAAGGCCATCGTGAGGGCATCTTGTTATCATCGGTGCCATCGGGCATTCGCCCCGATCAGAGTGAGGGTGAATGCACCGATGATAACACGAAGATGACACGATTTGACAAGATGCCCTCACGATGCCTTACGAAGTTGCCGCTCACGAAGTTGCTGCCGGAGCCTGAGAAACTCCACCGGCGGTCATACGATGGCTTAAGATGCCCTCACGAATGGCCCGATGTTGCTACGATCACAGCCGAATTTGAACATTTCCTTTATCGTGTGTCCATCGGGTGTCAATTTCGGGACAGTGTGACAGGGGCTTTAACGTTTTTTCCCCACTCATTTGTTTTTAGGAAAAAAAGGACAAATAAAAGAACAAGACCATAAGCAACATTAAAGCAACTTGTTATTCCTTAAATAAAACACTTAACATCTACATTTAGTCAGTTTTCATTGTCAACACACACTTTGTAAATGTTGTTGAAACAGTGCGGTCCACAGAGAGCAGGCGTTCACTAACCCCTGGGAGAATCTTCATGTTGTGCAGTGCATTCTGGGCTTCCAGGGCTGATTTGCGAGTATAGTACGTTATGAAACAGCAGCCTGCAGGGAAGGGAAAGAGACCTGAGTTACACACTCACTGCATACTGTGTGCTTTGTGGAGGCTATGCTGGCCAGCCGTAGTGATCTTTGATCCAACAGATGTGTTCCATGTCTCGAGGCACACCCAAACCATTTGTATAGCCAAGTTAAATAAAGGCTTTTCATGTTGTAAGTTGTTTATGGCACAAATATTCACATAGCAAATATACAATTGAAAATACAGAAAAACAAATCAAAGGCAAGGAACCCCCATTTTCTGTGATTAATAAAAGAATATGTCGAGGTTTCCATTGTGTGTTAAGGATCTTTTGGGCTCCAGTTAAGCTAGTAAAACCAAGAGTTTGTTATGATGGTTTTAAGGTTATAATAGAGAAGAGACTCATTGTTCAGCATTAGGATGTTTGGGAGGCACGGTATCTGAACCCCAATGATGTCACATGCAATGTCACTTCAAATGACATGCTAGATTCCTTCAGATTGAACTGTGTGTGTTTGTGTGTTCCTAAAGGCTGACCTTTGCTCTGCGGAGGGTTCTGGCTGCGGTCTCGGAGGACATTAATCTCGTAGACGGCTCCGTAGGGCTCGAACAGCTCCCGCAGCTGCTCCTCCGACCAGGAGCGAGGGATCTGCCCCACAAACATCTTGATGGCATCAACGTCTGGCTGGTCGGGGTGATCCAGAGACCCGTTCATCTTCTTCCCACTGAAAAGACAAATGTCAGTTAGACGCAATACCATATTCCTAATAATATATTGTAACTTATAACTGCAAATATTCTCCAACAGCCTAATGGGTCAAAACAGTTGGCAGGAAAGTAGGGATGCTCATAGTGTTCTTCTTTTATGAAACTATGATGCTGAGTATTAACGTCAGATAATAATCATCACATATTCGACTCATTATTTCTATGACTTGAGTATATATCACATAGAGGCAGGTATTCATTGAGAAATATAAACAAGATTGAGGTGGTTTCTCTGTACAAACACTATGATATCTATGAATACACACAAACTGTAACATGGAGGCTAGTAGAAAAGATCTCAAATGTGATTATAACAGCAGAAGATACAACAAAGTTGGTAAGACTTTCTTTGAGTTTGATGCCACCCCCGCAGTAACATGTTGAAGTCCTCTGGACAATATACTAATCCCATATTTCTCCAGTCTTAAAGCATTAGGTTTGGCTGCTTAGTGTACAGAAAGTCATATTACACTGACATACCCATACCATGGTTATGGATAAGTAAGTATATGTGCTAGAACACGCACTAGTATATTATAACCTACATCTGCATGGCGCTGGCATAGATAAACAAAACCCTCTTATACTCTGCTGAAAAGTCCTAGAGGAAACAATGAATACAGAAAGATGATGTATGAAGAGCTGCCATCAAAAAAAGCACAGAGAGTTCAGAGGTCAAACACATTCCTGAAATGAGCAACAACCCAAAGATTAAAAAGGAATGTTATTTTCCAGAAAAACTATGACACTCTGAAATCCGATCAGAATGATCTCTCTTACTGACGGGTCCAGGAAGAATTTAGCTCATTCAGCTGAAAGTAGTCAACTATGGCATAAAGGGGCCTACAGGGGGCTGCCGATGATGTGAGCCCACCGTCTGCCTGGGGGTCAGGGTCTGCAGGGCAGCGGGCTCAAACTGAACCGTCCACTGAAGGATACATCCGGTCCACTGGATGACTTTGCAAGAACATCTGAGATATGTAAAACTGGACCATACACACCCACAGGGGGCTTTGACTTTTACTTACTATGCATAGGCTGTAGCAATGCTACCGTTAACGTGCGCATTCACTTCAAAACCCAAGAGGCTGCGGGGCTCGCACATGTCGAACCGGCACTGCAATTTGTTCCTATACAAATACAAGAAACCTGCATCACACTTCTATCTTTCACAGTATTGATAAAAGCCATTCAATTGAAATGTACATGTAATTGCACTGTTTTTTTTTTTAACCATTAAAAAGTGGGATTTCACTTCATGAAATGTAAGGTAACATTATGGTTGCTTAAAAATGTTTTGTTCAGCTCTTGGATCACTTCTGGTTGCAAAATAATGATGGCCATACTCAAGGCTTTAAAGTCGGTGGACAACAAACCAATGGGCGATACGGTGAAACGTCTCATATACGGTCTGTGGTCAGAGGTTGAACATTCAAACTACCAAGACCAGATCAGTTCTGTAAATGGATTGAACATAATATAACTTGTATATAATATAACTAGTGTACTTATTTACTGGCTGCTTCAATCACACAAATGGATTTCCTATGATGCACAAACTATAATATATACTGCTGTTTTATTGTATTCATAGATTTTCTGTGTGCAATCCCAACCAGCCATTTTCCATGTACTATATCACCAATGGCATAGAAAATGACCAAAAGACCTTCCTGAGGAAACCATGGTATTGTCTGGAGGAACGCAGAGGAAATGACTGCACAGCTCAAACACATGTGCTGATTGGTTTGATTGGTTAATACAATGATAGGTAGAAAGGATTTGAGAGTGTTAAGGTGTTTACATCATCACATCAATCCAAACCTCATAATCAGTCTACTATCTTACACTTGAAATAGTCAAATGCAAAATGTGATAGTCGCATCTGCACATAATGCATTTGAAGAATCAAACATGAAACGTTGGAAAACATTTAATAAAGTTAAGAAGGATTTGAAAAATGATCAATGAGATAATCCGACTTGTCCTGCAGAATATGGATGTATATGCTTCCAGTGTGATGTGTGACAGGGGGGAGCGGTACCTCTCAATCAGAAGCTGGCCTTAACTGGTTGCCATGTGTTCAATTACAATGATTTATTAACATTCTAATAATTATTCACTAAGTGACAAAGAGGCAGCAGAGGGATGTTATACCAGAAGCAGAAATGACCCTAGGACGTTTCATTTCAGAATAAGACACGTTTATTTATCCAATACATCACCAGTGTTTAGAGAGCCTTCACTATCCCTCGTCTTCAAATATATTGAGTTACTTTTGATGTGTTTTAAAACGTATGACTAGTATATGTGTAGTGTTATTGTTACATGTTGAAATGGTTCAGCAGCGGCTTGATTCAACTATTGCCTCCCTCATGTTGTTGTGCTGGTGCACCTCGGAATCTCTGCCCACACAAACAGGCACTTCAACAGAGTTTTATTGTCATTTCGGATGAAATATTTGCTGCATTTGTACCATTTATTTCCAGAATTGAAATGTTCAGTTATGCTCTAATCATGTTGTATTGATTTTGGGCACTGCTTAGGTGCCAGAGGATGATGTAGAACCTCCATATGAACTCAAATGAAGGCTGGGGGTGTGGCTGTCACAAAGCAACCAATGCCAGCTCAGAATACAAAGGTTGAATACACTCCTGGTGCCTGTTATACATGTGCATGCTAACTACGCACCATTCAAATGTCCATGGCTTAGACATTGCATTGCATTGAACAATGTAATCTTGCTTTTGTCAACATTTTGTTTTTCAAAATGAATCATCTAGAGCCATTGTGTCAACATGCTTTACGTTTCTATGCTTCTAATGGGAGAGTGTTCTCCTTTGAAAGCTAGCTAACGTCACGGCATGTCAGTCACAGAGGGAGCAGGGTCCCACATGTCAACATGCTGCAGAGCTACATGTTTTTTATTGTCTACATTGGTTTTATAAATATGTGTTATGTGTGGTTCTTTTCAGTTACTTCATTCCCTGTGATGTTTATGGATGTAGTTTCTGATATGTTTTTCCATCTAAAGTGTGCATTATGTCCTGCTCAGTATCAAAAATGCAAGAAAACATTACGGCTAAGGCACTATTTCAAAAGGCCCAAAAGTGGCAGTACCAGGGCAACGCACAGTACCAAATCACTTGAGACTTCAATAATGTGACATTACTGCAGGCTTGACAATCAATGTTTCTGATCAAATTAGCTTTTTTTTTAAATAAAAATTCTAATTCTGAGTTATTACAACTAGTGCGAGAGGCATTCATTGTTAATATGAGGTCGTTTTGGGTTATTTCTTTAGCACATAACCCTTTTTGTAAAGAATAACAGACAGGTTTCCATCAGAACAGGAGCTTATTACCATCTGAGCTGGATCCAAAATCAGTCAAAAATAATACATAGCCTAAAGAAAGGTACAGGAAGTTACTTCAACACCTCTTCTTCACTGAAGTGCAGCGTGGAAGAACATTTAAACAACTGGAGGGCTTCATCACCCAACACTCTACAACACAGCTGCTCATGACTAATACTGCTACCATTTCAATCAGAAGAAAGCCCTTCAAATAGACAAATCCATTCAAACTGATTTCCAGAAACATAGGACAACCCTAGGAAACATAGAATACTCACACAGTGATCAGAGCGAGCTACTTACACAGGACTAGAATTCAAAGAGCAGTGATCCACCATCATCTCAGGGAGGAAATCCAACTTAAAAGAAGCCATGATGCCAAAATGTGTTTCTTTCTCCTTTGAACACAACAGGACAGTGGCACTAAATGGACGCACAGATCAGGTGATGGTGGTAAACTCCAGATGGTACACTTATTGGTAGGTCCCTGGCGAAGGGTATAATAAGGGCAGTGCACAAAAGGAAGAGAAAAACAGTGTGCCGCAACAAACTAATGCACATGGAGAACCCGTCCAGTGGAACACAGACACACAAACACAAAGTGGCTGCACCGCCTTCGTTGCGATGGAGGAACAAATGACAGACAAAGTGACAGGCCTTCAGGTTGGCTTTCCAGGTTCTGGGAAGGGGACTGACCGCTGCATGCAGATCATGGGGGGCTGCTGGGATCACTGGGGCCAGAGAAGTAATGGCCATTTGGGCTCCCACAATCAAAGTGCTGATGATCCACGGCCTTTGTGAACATTTCTCCTAGGCCAGCAGATCTGGCTGCAGCGTCAGATAAACATGGTGTCAGATTGATGGTGATAAGGCCCAGTGGGCAGGGGGAATGAAAGAGGGAGTGAATAGTACTCCCCAGCCAGTAGCTAATCCCTGGACTAGCCACACCAGGGGCTAACAATTAGGTTCCGGCCAGAGGGGGGGCTGTGTTTACCCTGTTGTCCTGCAGCCTGCAGTGGTTTGTGTGTGATTCATGTGTGTAAAAACAGAAGGAAGCCAATGTCAAATGACACTGGCTTTTGTCTCTGTGCAACCCACAGCACACACACAAAGACCCCCACACCTTTGCATTGAGATCAACTCTGCACTAAACAACACCCTGCCTTCAGGTGGTTGGTGGCTGGACTTAACCCCATGCTGCTGCACTTTGTTTTCATCCACACTGGAGCCTTTTCATTTTGCAACATGACAGCACAACCCAGGAAAGCACGGTGCTAATAAACAAAGTCTGTGAAATAACAAAACCATCTTTCAAGATCTTTTCAGATAAATGAGATGGATAACTTTATCCTTAACCCAACGATAATGGGGACCTGCTGTGCTTATCACAGCTATATCTCCATTACAGCGCACATATTGTGATGGCTAGCAAAACGTTGCAAACTTGTCCTGCCTTTGAATGGCGTACTGATGATAGTGTTGCAGCATTATTCAAACTTGCAGTAGTGGAGGCCATATGATAACACCACTGTGATAACAGACAATATGAGAAACACCGACACTGCACTTAGCAAAAGCGTGCTTGCCCTCCATATCCGATCTGACGCTCTACACTCAAATAAGAGCGGTGTTGTTAGAAGAAGCAGAGTGGTCTATTTTTATATTTAAATAGGTTTGAACACATGAATTGGAATACTTATCATAAAATCATGTAGTGCCTCTAGCTATTCAGTGAGAAATATAATGTTAGAGATAATTATCATAAAGACATTATAGCCTGTAGATTGTACAATATGCCAATGTTAGGCTTCTACAAAATGTAAGCTAGTTTGATGCCTAAAGATGTTGTCAAACAGTATGACAAAGAGTCACACATCCAATGGGGAGTGGGGCTCCACTCCATCTTCTCACGAAGTGCAGAGAGGACGCTCTGCCGCTCTGAGAGGAAGCTGCTCTGACTATCTGAATGGAATGTTCCAGCACTGCTCCGAGTTTACCAACAGGCCAGTTTGTCATGTGTCATGCAGGATCGTGAGGTTAATACCAACACACAAACATATCTGAGCAACAGTCACAAACCTCTGTGCCGGTTTGCCAGGCCTACTGGATTTGGAGTTTTTTGTTTGTTTTAAGCAATAACTACAACTCATTTGTAATGTAGCAAATGAGTTATATTAATAGTAAGACGCCATGACGATCAAAAACATGGAGCCAGTTAGCAGACCATGCTAACTGGTAGGTCTCATTTAGCATTTAAAGCATTAGATTACATTTGTACTTGCTGTTTGGCTAAGAACTGTTGGTATGCATTTTGGTGTGTGTAGATTTATATGTATGGACCTGATATGGAGTGATGAAGAAATGAGTCCTATAACCCAGAAATGTGTTAGCATTTCAGCACGTCGGGTTACGTCGTCTGAAGTCAATGTTTTCTGAATTCGTTTTTTGATAAATGCCTAAAATAAGATATGTGGTTAACACAAGTTTAACAGATTTTCATGTTTTGTATTACATAAGTGGTAAACGTCTGAAACCTTTTAGTGGTTGCTACGAGTTTAAATGATTCTACTAAAGGTCATCATGCTGAACATTAGCCGCCTTTAGCTTGGGAGTGGTGACGTGAGGTCATGTGACTGTGCTGTAGTTTGTTTATAATCGTTCAGTACATAACAGCACTTTAACCATCAGTAAAAGTGGTGTTAATTAGGGCTGTCAAGTGAACGCGTTAATAACGCGTTAACGCAAAAAAAAATTAACGCCACTAATTATTTTAACGCGATTAACGCATGTGTATTTTTTTTCCTCGGCCGCCCCGTAGTTTCAGAGCGCATCGAGTTTAAAATACCATCTACAAGCTGATGCTGACAGCCCCGCTCCTGCTGTGACAGACCACACTTCCACGCTCACCGGCAGGCACCGACTGGCTGTTGGGAGGACCGGGAGGGTGTGTGTATGTGTGGCCCGAGCGAGCGAGAGAGAGACCTTACGTGCATTGTTGTTGTTAGCATCTGGTGCTAGCTAGCTGCGCTAACGGATCTAAGGAGCTGTTTAAATGAAAACAGAGGAGCGACATTTCGCCACAACTGCGCCGAGCACTTGACTTCCAGGCAGCTCCCGTTCGAGCATATGCCTTGTGACACACACACACACACACACACAACACACACACACACACACACACACACACACACACACAACACACACACACACACACACACACACACACACACACACACACACACACACACACACACACACACACCACCCACACACAACACACACACACAACACACACACACACACACACACACCCACACAGCACACACAACACACACCCAACACACACACTACACACACACACACACACACAACACACACACACACACAACACACAACACACACACACACACACAACTTTGTATTGTATTATTGTATGAGAGGTTCCAGGTTGAATTGAGGCGAATATTTGTAATGTTCAGAGGTTGTTGTTGTTAATATTCATGAGAATATTTGTCATTGTTCAAATGATAATAAACATTAGCATAAAGCATATTTGTCCACTCATATGTTGATAAGAGTATTAAAAACTTGAAAAATATTCCTCTAAGGTACATTTAGAACAGATAAAAAATGTGCGATTCATTTGCGATTAATCGCGATTAACTATGGACAATCATGCGATTAATCGCGATTAACTATTTTAATCGACTGACGGCCCTAGTGTTAATATAAGAGATTATTTTCTGCAATTTCCAAAATAAAAAAAAATAAAAGGCTGAAAAATCTCAGAGCTTTTGTGGAGGGAGCCCTTGCTAACTCGCGGTGGCTACAATAATCTGTCAAAACTTCCCTCTATTGACCGTGTGAGAGAGATACATGGCTGCATGGTGTGGGCAGGGGGTCCTGGGGGTCCACAGATTTTCCATAACCCCCCCCAAATGGCTGTCGGAGCTTCTTACCCCCCTAGTGCCAAGTTGGAGACCTCGGAGGTGGGGAGGGTGAGTTGGGGCTGTCCCGTCTGCTCTGGAGACGCATACAGGCTCTCAGGGTCCAGGCTATCCATCGAGGGCCTCGCACTACGACTAATCACACACAAACACACACACACACACACACACACACACACACAAACACACACACACATTACAAATACATACAACAAAGAAACACACCACAAATGTTTGCACATGTAATGAAGCTTAAGTGGAACACAAATGTGAGAGCTGGGGGGTGGGTTCATCCTTTAAATATCAAGGTTATTTTGAATAACGGAGCCTACACACGGCGGCGTGCGTTGCCGCTTCAACGCTTCTGCCCATTCACTTTGAATGGGGTGACCTCACGATTCGCCGAACTGCATTGTGGGAGCAAAGCGTAGCTTCTCTCGCGGTGCTCGCTGCAAAAGTAGAGCAATGTTCTACTTTTGCCGCCTCGACGGAGGCGTCAGCCAATCAAATCCCGCATATGCAAATCTGACAGTACAAGCGCTAGCCAATCAAACCGCGTGTATGTTGGGAGAGCCAGACCGCAGTTATTTCCTATATGTAAAAAAATGGAGGAGAAAATTATCGTGGCGGTAGGGAATCACCCGGTACTATATGACCAGTCCCTCTTTACATACAGGGATACAAACCGGAGGAGCCAGGCATGGGGGGAGGTGGCAGAGACAGTGGGTGAAACTGGTAGGTGATCGCCTATTTGGGGAGTTTATATCCAGTGTACTTCGTTTGAATGGACAGCTAGCAAGCATGTATATTTAGCCAGCATGGATGTAGCATGAGCTTTGCTTTGTATGTCCGGGGCGGGACATTCATATGATTGGTTGTTGGTCGCGTTGGTTGCGTTGACTCCCCAAGCTCAAGACACGCCCACCGCCAAGCGGCAACGCACGCCGCCGTGTGTAGGCTCCGTAAGGGTACATCACCACACCCCTGTGTCCTTTCAAAATAGACAATACTCAGCAACCCCGACTCAGAGCTCTGAATGTTTAGACGACTGTTGTTCCTCTCTGCGCTCTCTCACTATCTGTGTCAGCACCCCGCCTACCTGCAGCTGTCCGTCACTCACCTCTCTCCTGTCTGCGCCTGTACTACGAATCCAGTTCAACAGACCCTGGATATGTTTGAGTTATCTGGCTTAACTAACCCAAAACAAGAGCGCTCTCGCTAAGCGGTCCTATGACGCTGGTTATCAACTCGGTAACTCAAGCCAGGGGTTGCAGTCGGATAATCCAAAAATCAGCTCCTAAATTCTAACCCTATCTCCTATTCCTTGACCTCTGAGTGAAACGTCACGGGGTTAAGGGATAGTGGATAGGAGAAGTCAAAAGGACGTGGGAGAAGAGACTGCGGTACTTTAGAGAATCCGAATGCACTTTCACTATCCGACGTGTTTATGATGCTCCAGCGGACGTCATGAATGTGCGTCTGCTGCTGTGGGGAAACTATGGAAACTAGTTTTCTATACAGCGGACTACAACATGGATGTTTAATAAGAACGAGGGACTACTGTAAACTCATCTAGAGACTCTGCACCGTGCTCTGATGCTGTTGCTTTATGCTTTATGAACGTGGACAACAGAGAAACATATTCTTCATGACCAAAGTTGGAATTGAAATAAAAAAGGAAAGTGAAACTTCTGCTCGTCACCCTCTACCTCCGGTCCACATTAATACAAATGATCCCAATACGTATGATTGTATGAACTATGAAAAGATCTTAAAATCAATACAAATGTATTTATTATAAACGTTAGGCCTTAACATCTATCACTGTGTATATCACCATTCAAACATCTTTTAAAAGTTGAACAAACCCCACAGCTCAGTAAAGACTGTGAAATGTTGACTTTATTTGATCATTTCAGTAAAAACTAACGTTCATATTTCTCTTTTTGATTATAATACTGATGAACGTTCAGAACAAAGCACTTTGGCAACTTACCACCTACGTTTCAAAAAGCTTAATAAGCACCGTAACTTTCATGATATCATTTCTCCGTCATAATCGGTTGTTTCCGTGAACGGCCGACTGTTGAGTGACGGCAAATGCTGCGGCTGTAATGCATTGTGGGGCAGCATTTTCTCCTCTCCTTTCGGTTAGGGAGGTCCAGTGGTTCCTAAGCTAAAGGAGGTTATAAAGGAAGTTTGAAACCTCCTTTCCTATCATCTAGAGAATTCGAACGGCACTTATCATGGCTGCCACTGAGGGACTTCCGGGTCATTTCACTCCGTTAGGAAGGTTCCTAAGCTAAATGGACTATTCGACTGCAGCCCTGGTTTCTCTGTCCGACTGAGTGCGCGTTCACATAAAAGGGGCGGGGTTAGCAACATTTGACCAATCACAGCGCAGCGTCATACTTCCTGAATGAAAAGTAAACTATAATATTAGACAAATATGAAGAAGTTAAACTTTTAACATCCATGACACTTTATCCAGGATAAAAGCAACATGGTTGCACCTGCAAGGTGAATACAGCTGGTAAAAGAAAAGTGTTTGAATGCGTACATTAACAGGTTTATGATTTGACTCGAGTGTTTCGTCAACTTAATGTGTTGCTTAAAATAATACTTCTGCATACAGTATGTGACACTGTGAGACTGTTGCACGGCCAGATATGGCTCAAGAAGCTGACTCAGATAAGGAAATATATGATACATTAGGGCTGTGCGATTATGGCAAAAATCATAATCACGATTATTTGGTCAATAATTGATATCACGATTATTTTGACGATTATTCATTGACCATTTATTGAACTTTAAAACAAATAATATTTTACCAATAAACAAGATCAATAAATGTGTTGGAGCGCACTTCCAAAACCATACTAAACATATATTAATATGATAAATAAAAATAAATAAAATGAAATCAAATATGTTGCAGTGCACTGTCACAACCTACTGAAAACTCCTTAACATATAGCCAACATTTTGGTAAAACATATTCAACATATTCCACTCAGTTAAACGTTGAAGACTGGCCAACCGTCATGGTCCAGAAGTAACAGGAAATAAATGTTGAACTACAATTTAAGACCAAATAAAAATGTTTAGGCCACCATGGCAAATGCTGGTAGGACTGCTCGTGTCATCTCTTAAAGATTTTTTGCAAGAAATACCAGGCTGTATATTATATTGCCACCTGTACTGAAGACCCTCTCTGAAGAGGAACTTGTGGCAGTGCTGCCACATATGACACAGGAAAAAAGGAAAAGACTCTGAAGAACCCTTTCTTTGCCATTATATAAAAATAGTGTTGCTACAAAAGTATAAATTAGGCTTACTAATAAGACAACTCAGATCTGAAGCTACACAGTAATCTGCTGCAGCAACAGTGCAATAAAAAAGACAACATTAATAGAATCAAACCCATTTTTTGTTGTATTTTATTAGAGTATAAAAAGAAATGCCTTTAAAATAGGATGCAAGCAACACTAGTTTCTGAACTGATAGACTATAATCAATTTAAACAGAACAGATCTTAATGTTTGCATTCTTATACCATTTTGTACAATAATTATAATGAATAAATTCAAACAAACTAAAACTTACAGCAGATTAATAACAGTATCTAAATTGAGTTTTTATTATATCAAAAACCTGTTGAAATGCTGCTGTTATTTTTACTGTCCCACAAAAGCGCGTCGCAGCCTCCAGGAAAGCTTCTTTCATAACTTCGCCGTCTTCGAAAGACTTCATGTGTTTCGCAAGAACGTGACTGACACGATAAGATGCTCTGGTAGCAGCCTTGCTCTTGGTGTTGGGCCTGGTGAAAATGGACTGCTGTGCATTTAGCTGTGCTCTCAGGCCCCTCCCCTTTTGGAGCGTAGGGCAGAATTAGGAGGGAATTCCGTCTCGTAGCGTTTGTGCACTGTTTTGAAATGCCGCTCCTAAATTACCCTTCTTCGATAAAGTCACGCTCGCATTGCAGATGAGACAGATGGACTTTGAATTGGAATAGATACAAAAATAATGATCCTCCCACTCGGAGTGAAAATTATATATTTTGGGCTTTTTTGCTTCTGCCATAATTGCGGTCTTGTGTGTGTGCGGACTGTCACTCCTGTTGACCATCCATGCTGTTGACACGGACAACGTCAGCGAACTAGTGCACTGCTCACCAGCCACGCCCGGACACATGGGGTGAGGCCGGCCAATCACAAAGCTTTGATGCGTTCAAGTGCATTATTCTGGCACGGGAACATTATGTTACAGGACATTAACGATAAAACAGAATATTGTTGTTCTATTTTTAGACACATCTCGCGATCGACTGTGAATCTCCCCGCGACCCTTCTTTTTAACTAGTTGCTGCTCTTGTTCTGACATCTTCGCTTGCGCTAAACACTCACAACACATGTCACTCCCACGTGGCCGAGTGGGCTTTTAGGGAGGGGCGAAAGCGCACCCAGCAAAATAATCGTATTTTGTCAATTATGCTGTTTTCCTAATCGTCGCAAACCATAATCGTAATCGCGATTAAAATACGATTAATTGCACAGCCCTATGATACATTGTGATGTGATATGATATGAATGATAATGGGACACATCGACGTCTGCACTCACAGTGTAATGTAATGTTAACAATGTTAACAATGTAACAGTAATGTTACTTTGATCCGGTTACTTATGTTGTGGCAGATATTTAAGTAAGCTTTCTTAACGCTAATGTTATAATAGTCAGATTGCTCTGAAGATGGGAGGTGATATTCTAATAATGTTCACGTTCACAGTCGGTGATTTTTGCCGGCCGTCTTTCCTACAACGGCAGCTTTTCTGTATTTCCTTTCTCCTGTAATATGACTTGATCGCTTTAAACTCCGCACACTGAGCTCTGATTGGTCAGCAGGCAGTGCTTTCACTGAGTTGATCTCTTAGCCTGCAACCCAACCTGGGGCCTATAGAGTGGCGAAGTCCCTCCCCTTCCGGTGGACCTCCACGGGACCTTATTTCGGAAAAAGTATTTATTGAAGTCAATGGAGAGAGAAAGATTATCGTTTGATCCCGTTTGAATTGTGCCACGAATTACACATATGATGTTTGTCAATTTAAAAGATAATTTTGCAAGTCAAACAA